CATTCAGACCAGTCATTTATTACTATTTATATAGTCTATAAAATGAATAACTTTGAATTTTGACCGTTATTTTTTACCAACATGGTAAATATAAAATTCCTCTATCCAAAAAGTTACTGATATTCTTTAAAATGAGTGCCTGAACGAATCAGATAGGTAACTCATTTTTACTTTGACATGAAATAGAAAAGGAAAATAATAAAACAAGTGACAGTTCACCACCTCTTCTTGCAAAAATCAACGCGAAATGTCATAATTAACCAAGTAAAATGTCATCAGCCTTTGACATTTCTAAATATCAGACCAATGCCGTCCCTAATAGAACAGCCTTGGAGCGAGATTTATGACATCACGCTAGTTAGATACCACGGATTAATATATATGTTGTAGAATACATGGAAAACATAATTATTCCTCGTATTTTTGGTTTCTATTTTAAAAATGATATAGTTTACATGAAATATACATAATATACAGTTATTAAATACAATATATTATACCTATTTATAGTAATAAATACTTTGGCAAATAAACTAAGAACCATGCAAATGCAGCAAATGTTTTACAATATACAAATAATGAATAGGTACATAAGATAATGGGTAAAATGTAAAATATATTTTAAATTTTGGGGTTTGAAAATCGATCTAATTTAACAAGAAACATTCAATATCTACTAATAGTAATATATTATTATTTGCATTCACAAAATTTATATGTATATTTTGCAAGCTAATATAATGTTCGAAAAATTATATTTGCAAATAATACAATATCATAGAAAAAAAGGCGTCAGAGATGGCTATGAAATAAATATCGCTGTCATTTTATATGTAAAATTATTCTAAAATTTTTCATTTTCTTGGGATTTAGGTTCGGGAAAAACGCTGATTAAATTTTCATTTGGTTTTTCATTATTTTTTTTTGGTTAAAAAAAAACGTTATAGCTAACGTTTAGCCTTCATCAGTGTTGTGTCATATGAATAAAATAGTGTCGAATATATTCCAAAAATTACATATACCAGGAATAATTATGTTTTCCATGTATTATATTATAGAATAATTAATCCGTAGTATCTAACTAGCGTGACGTCATAAATCTCGCTCCGAGGCTGTTCTATTAGGGATGGCATTGCATCAGCATGGCCGCAAGTTGCTAACCTAATAAAATTTACACTAGAAAAGCCCGCGGGAACTGTCAAATTCAAAGTTATTCGTTTCACAGACTATACATAATGTTTCCTAAACAAGCTAAAATATTTTCATAACCATTTATCATATCAGATCGTGTAATAAAAAAAGTTGATGAAAACGTTATGCATTAAAAGGTTATATGATAAAATATATTTTAAATCAGAATTTATTCATTATGAATACCTAGGGTATTAAGTTAATAATTACGTTATACAGGGTGGTCCAAACTGTATTCCGGAAACTTCGGCAGCATATTCTGCAGATAAAAATAAGTAAAAAAGTTTGTATAAATGTATGTCCTAAAATGCTTAGTTTCGAAGATACAGGGTCTAGAAGTTTCATTTTTATTTCATTTTATTCCAAATAATTTCTGAAGCAACATTAATACTTGGATGAAAATTGGTAGTTTGACATGAGAAATTTGATATTGATGTCAATATGACTCCTATTTGTAGAGGGCGCCACCTACATGTGTTTTAACCAATGAGGTTATAAGGGGGGGAGGCGACATAAGCTATCGAGAAATGTACCCAGTTACGCCATATTGGTACTGGCAATTCTGACAGTTCAGTTTTTGAGGTTAAGTGCGTTGCTGCGAGTGTTTTTTTAATTTTCCAAGACTATTTTTGTGTTTTTATTTGAATATTTGGACTTTCCGAACATGTCTTCGGGTGCTGTAAGTAGTTGTTGCAGTCGACAACGTGTAGAGAGGAAGAAATCCACTGAAATTGGTGTTGAATCACAGGTAAGTGTAAACATAATACAGGACCTGATTAAATTATTTTCGTATTTTCCATTTAACTAGTTATGCGTTTATTAATTAAATATTAAGTGTTTCTATATTGACAAAGTGTTTAGTTATTTAATACTTTGTTAGAGGCAATTAAGTAATTAAAACATGCCTCGACTTCTATTCTTTAAAAAAAATTCTTAACAATATCTGTTATTTTTACTACATATACTTTTTTTGACAGGAAAGAGTATTTTGCTAGGCCAAATTTAAAAGTTTTGTTTTAACTACGGTTTATTTTTCTATTTTTACAGTAAGATTTTGTATTAAACATTTATTTACATCCCTTTTTAGCATCTGCTAGCATATACTATGTACAAACTTTATATAGTATAGCTTCAATTTTTAGATAAATATTATAAAATCAACAAAGTAAATTTACTTTTTGCAGATAAAGTCTTAACAACTTATATTTATTGATAAACATTTATTATTTTAATAAAATTTTATATCAGAACATTTTAAATTTAGTACGTAGTATATAAATTTTGCTCTCTTTAGAAAATTTTTATCAAATAAATATTATATTAAATCTGATTTTTAGGTTTCAAAAATCCCATCCGTCGAGAAGCTTGGGTGAAGTTTGTGAACAGGAGAAACTGGCAAGCTACATCAGGTAGTGTTCTAATGCTCGAAACATTTTTCTGATAGCTGTTTTGACAGAACATCTCAATAAAATATCTCAAATAAATAATAATTTCCTAATATTTCTAAATTTTAATGATTATCAAAATGTTAATTATGGTAAATCAGTAATCATGTTTAATTTTTTTCCGCTTTTTTTCTAATTTTTTTTAAAAATGTTAAGGTTATTATTGTTAGATACATCAATAAAAACAAGGCAATTAGTTTACATACTAGCAACAAAACAGTGTTATTTAGTGAGCAATAAAATTTAATTTATTTAATGTGTATTATTTTTTTGTGTTTCCTTCTTAAATATACATAGTATATAGTCATTAAAATTAATCTTGTAGTTTATATTTTTGAAAAGATTGTAGGTTTTGTAGTTAATTTTGATTAATTAATTTTTTATTTAAAAAAGTTGAGGTCGTTATATTGTGTAAAATAAAATTTTTCAAAGAAGTTTCTGTAATCCGGCCCTGCTAATGCCGCCATATTGGTGCTGGCTTAAGCCACGCCTAGTGTTACCATTTTTCGCAAGCACTTTAAATTCTCATAGCGTCTCCCTGTATATAACCTCATTGGTTTTAACTGTTTTGAAGAGTAATAACTTTTCGTTCGTACATGTATAAAACTACTGAGTGGAAAAATATACATTTCCGTGATTGAAAATAGACAATACACGTCATTATTGACAAAAAATAAGCATGTTGAGTAGACAGATATTCGACTGAAATGATAAATTTGGGAACTTTTTATTTTTTTTTAAATTAATTTTAAATTTTTCTGCGAAAAAATGATGATAAAGAACTTTTAGCACAAAAACATTTCAAATTTATGATTTCAGCCTAATAACTATTTAGTCAAGATGCTTAATTTATGTCAAAGATGACAGGTTTTGATAATTTCGATTCCAAATATCTCGAGAACCATTACTCGTAGCGATTTTTACTAAGAGACATTTTTTACGTAAAAAATATGTAGGTGGTGCTCTCTACAAGTAGGAGTCATATTGACATGAAAATCAAATTCTTATGTCAAAAAACTCCCAGACACACTTCATCAAAATATTTACGTTACTTCAGAAATGATTTGGAAAAAATCGAAATAAAATTGTAACTTCTACACCCTGTATCTCCGAAACTGAGCATTTTAGGACATACGTTTATACGAACTTTTTTACTTATTTTTATCTGCCGAGTATGCTCTCGAAGTTTCCGGAATTCAGAGTTAGGATCACCCTGCATACTAATTGAGTTATGATTTGTGCAGGGGTAAAACTTGATGGCTTATACAATATACAATAAGTTGTTAAATCCTATGATATATGCCTAGTAAAAATATAGAATACAGGGAAAGAACCTGATAACCACCAGTCGTTCAGTGCTCTCCTGTAAAATTAGTAAATGGCGCTTATTATGTTTTTCCCCTGTAACTTTATGTGTTGAATCTTTATGTATTGAAAATTTTTAAAAATTTGTATGATATGTTCTTTTCTTAAGAAAATAGTCTGACACAATATTTAATAAAACAACTATAAGTTTTCAGGATTGCCTGTTTTTATACCATTTAAAACATTTTTTGGTCGAATACCAGCGCATTCGCCAGTATTGCATAAAACATTTTTAGACTAAATTTTGGTTTGTGATGAAGTATGTAGTATGATAAGTTTTTTGATTAACTTAGTGTTTTATTTATTAATTTAGTGTTCACATTAACTGGACCAATAAATGGAGACTGAGACTTAATAAATTATTGTATTTCCACACTATAATAGAAGCCAAATGAAGAACTACCTTCAGTGCATGGGAGGTGTGGGTGCACGTGATATTGAAAACATAAAGTATGTGGGTGTTTATAAAAGCTTTTCAGAGTTCTCCAGTTCTTTATACGGTGTTACTATCTGGATAGTGTCGCTGGGAAGTTCTTGCCATGTCCCATTCCGGACAGCAGCGAGTAAGCATAGCATAGAGACCACACTTTAAAGTATGCTGTCAAAATATATTGCTCCGTTAAAATAACTTCTCTTTATTAACTGATTTTGTTGGTAAACGGACTAATTATTGAAAATAAAACGATACAATTTATTAAACATTTTCAATAAATATTACAATAATTGTCTGAACAGTTTAAAAATAACAGGTTAGTTTCAGAAACACTAAATAAGAGCACATTTCTAATAAAAGGCAGAGGCGCAACTAGGGGGGGGGTAAGGGGGCTTAGCACTCTATGTGACTGGTGCGTGTCGTATAAAATTGGTTTTAACCTCAAATCAATATTATCTTATAGAGACCTAAGCCCACCCAATAGACTTGAGCCCCTCTAAAAGTTGGTGTCTAGTTGCGCCCCTGATAAGAGGACAAATAAAATGATTAAAACAAAAGGTGTCCTGAAGAAAATTAAATTTATTGTAAACAGTTTAAATTGTACATTTAATAGATTTCTCAAACAAGCACTAGATTACTCTATGTTTTTAGCTTGGCTATACATATACTTGAGATGCTAGAACAATTACTTCCATGTATGGCCACAAAAGGATTTATTTCTTGAGTTTAGCTCATCCTCCTAAAACATACAACCAGGACTCACAGTGATAACCTTATAACAAGTAAATTATTAAATGATATTTAATAAATATTAGTTCTTGTTCACATTATATGATATACCGGGTGCGTCTCAAAAGTGGCCCACCCTTAAAACTTTTTTATTTTTTTTTTCAGGTAAAAAACGAGATTTGGTTTGATAGTATATGACATAAATTAGGATTGATTGACGTATTCAATTGTTTTTGGTCACTTTCTGTTTCACCTATAGAGTGTAGCACTCCATAGTTTCACCGGAAATAACTACAACTTTTGATTTTTAAATGACAAAAAAAAGTGGGGTTTAATTAGTGTTGCACAAGAGTCTTGAAAAAGTCTTGCAAGACCAAGACTCTTAAATTCAAGACTTTCAAAATTTCTTGTCTTGAATTTCAAGACAAGACAAGACTTTAAAATATGCAAGAAGTTTCAAGAGTCTTGCAAGATTTCTTGAAAGTTAGAAATGATACCTAGGGGAGAATGCCCAACAGTGAGACAGGTCCAACAGTGAGACATTTAATCCCCTTCATTTAAAACGCGTCGAATCCAATTCCCCTTTCGAGAGTAAAACACTACCAATATACCAACTATTTTGTATCAAATATGGAACCTGCAGTGTTGGGAGATATATGTCAACTGCACCCAATACAATTTTTGAAGCGAAAAATAATTTTTAACACGTGCGTTTTCTTCAGTCTGTAAGGCCAACACGTTATTTTAATAAATCCATTAGTGGAGAGGTAAGTTTAGAATGTTTTTTTAGAATATACCTCTAAGTTTTTTTGTTCAAGTAGTTTTAGAATAAAATAAATTACAAAATGGCCGACTGGTATTAATGTCCAGCAGTGAGACAAAATATATTTCCCAACAGTGAGACAGTGTCCGACAGACAGTGCACCCATTAAGACTGGGACATAGGTACCTTTTGGGCACTCGTTGGCATTGTTGAACATGTCTATCATGTTATTGATTGTTATATAACAGAGTTTTTCTTTATTTTAAGTCGAAGTTAGATTAACAACACAAATCTATGAAACTCTTTTTTTTATTTCGTTAGTTGATTAAGTTAATTATATTTTTAACACTTGTGTTTATATTTTAAGTTCTTTGTTTAAGACAGCTCTACTTTGTTTTATGCCAAACGCAAATAAATACTCTTAACTATTTTTAAGTAATTAATAAATAGTTATTTGTTTAAAACTTCCTCTGTCTTACTGTTAGACCTTAGGGCCCAACAATGAGACAAATGCAATAATAACAATATTGTTAATTTTAAGACATGTTTTTGTCTCAATGAGAGTAGTTAATTAAAGATGCTTAGGAGAGAGTGGTTGCCTTTAAAGTATACTAAAATAGTTTATTTTGATGAAAAAATAAAATATTTTTTACGGTCTAAAAGAAATGTGTCTCACTGTTGGGCATTCTCCCCTACCTTTTTTTAAGTGATAATTAGGTCTTTGCGCAAGTTATGCCGGGTTTATACAACATTTACATAGTCGTAATCACAATCATAGTCATAATCATAAAAGTTAAACTATCCACTTCTTATAAACCTGTTGTCATTTACCATGAACCTAGCCTTTACACTCATATAAAAATTATGATTATGAAAATGTTCTATAAACGCACATTAAAATTACGTTGTAATTATGACGATTATACAAGAGTGATTAATAAGTGATTATCGCTTGGTAACCATATTGTAATTGTCATTTTTTGAAATATTAATTCAGAAGTCATTTGTGTCAGTTTCACAAAATATCCCGTCAATTCTCAATACAAAATGGCAAAATATATGTACTTTATTTCGTTGTATAATCTTTTGAATACTTTTAACTGGATGTTTCGGGATTACCTAATACTCTTACCAGACACTCAATGCGCTACCTGCAACACTAGTCGGATAACGCATTTCGTGTCAGGTAAAAGTATTATTCGGTAATCCCAGGTAATCCCAAAACATCTTGTGGTTTGGTTTGGTTTGGAAGACAAGACTTGGAAAATTTCTTGTCTTGAATTTCAAGACAAGACAAGAAATTGAGATTTTCAAGACAAGAATTCTTGTCTTGTGCAACACTAGGTTTAATCACTAAATTTGACGTTTAGCCTATACAATTTTTTTGTACAGGCAGTTTATTTTGTCCAAAAAAAATTTTTAAAGTTTTTTTCTCAAAAACGCTTAATGGTAGGTTTTAATTTAGAGTATTTAACATCAAAATTCATAAAATTCAACAGATAAATTAAGCATCTAATAAAAAATGGTGATTGAAAATATTTTTAATCGATATATCTGGTTGTGAAACAATAATGTGCAAAAAAACTCCGATCTAGATATTGTAGTTCTCTAGAAACTTCTAATGCGCGCTCAGCCTCGTACACCCTGTATAAACCGAAATTCAATTGAGCCATATTAAAAAACCTTCCCGGTCACGCTAGTTTTGTTGATGTACTCCTTCCTTGTTTTTTTTTTATTTAATGCCTTTACCTGGATATCTCGATTGTAACAATTCATATATGGACTCCTCGTATAGTTATTCATTGTTGCAATATAGCAGGGCAAAGATATCTTATTGTTTTTGTGGTAATAAGTAATTTTTGTAGGCTCCGGCATATACGTAGACGTATTTGTGGTGGTCATGGCACATTTTCCATTAATAGCCAAAAATAGTAGGTTAGTTTTTGGAATTCTACGTACAACATAAGGCCTGAAAGGGAAAAATATATTAATTGGTTATAAGTTGGTTAAGGTTCATTTCCAAACCAAACAACATTATTATTTTAGCAAATATCTGTAGTATGTATTTGTATTTCATATCGCATTAGGGTTTCTGAGATATAGAAATTACTCTGTGAATTACGGTTCCTCGAAAATTGCACGTGATCGATGATAATTTTAATGCACGTGAAGCCCTAGATTTAACGTCTTTTCTTGAGAAAAAAAATAAATAAATTTTATCATTCTTTGGTTGATTCATTTATACCAAAAAAACAAATCGTTATATACTTGCAGTTAACACACAAAAACTTCGGCGTATTTCTATCTGGCGTTATAAGGCTTAAACCCATAGAGTTAAAAATTACTTAAACCTATCCATTTCTTTCTAAATAAAAGTCTTAAAAGCTTATATGTGCCGAATACCGGGCGTTTTTAAAAAGTGTATATATAATATTACTCTTATAACTTTTTTATTTTTTTCAGACAAAAAAATTGATATATGGTATGTTAATATACAGTAGCGCCCTAGCGCATTTTTTTGGCGCCCCATACAAAAGATTACTCGAGGAATCGACGAGGAAGTAGACTCGCTGAGAAAATTTTACCCATGGCTTGTATTTTTTGGCATTTGACAAACATTATAAATTATACAGAGTCCTGCAACAGCGTGATGGGCATCTATTAAGGTCCCATAAAAAAAATTATAAAGTTCATTTAAATGTAGAACTGTAACTTCTCACTTGGATGTATTTTCGGAAAATATAGTCATTAACTCAGAGTATCTCAGAAAAGTGCCAGCCACAGTGCGTGAAGTATTTTTTTAAATGGAAAACCCAGTGGTATTTATTTGGCTTCTCTTGAGAATTCTATAGATATATTTGGTATAAAACCTCCTAATGTCTATCACCAATCGTATGTGAATTAAATTCAATCGTAATTCGATTAATTTTACCCTCGCGATAAAATTAGTGTCATTCGATAGCTTTTAAAAAGTAAGGTGCAAGGAACATGTAAGCTATTTCACTGTGTGTTGTATCGTTTGAATTCTGTAGCCTGTCAAAGATGGTAAATTGTTATGTTTTAAAGACCAATATTTGAGAATTCGTTACAGATAGAAGATTTATTCAATTTAGATTCACCTTCAGCGGCGGACATATTTTGAGACACTCTGTACCATATTTTCCTGAAATAATTCTAGTGAACAACAGTCTGGACCTAAATGGAATTTAACTTTTTCTATACCGGGTGCGTCTCAAAGGTGGCTCACCCCTATAACTTTTTATTTTTTGAGTTAAAAAAACGAGATTTGGTATGTTAATATATGACATAAGTTAGGATTGAATTGATTATTGAATAATTGTTTTTGGTCACTTCCTTTTTCATCGGAGATGACTACAACTTTTGATTTTTAAATGACACCCTCGGTATTTTTTTACTTTATTCGATAGAAAATGACACTCTGAATAGAATGACATATGATATGTCAACTTTTGATATTTTCAAATATGCTAATGAGCCACCCACGTTCTATTTGAAAAAATTGAGATGTGATTAAAAATACGATTTGGGCATCTTTTACCCGACTACTGATTAAAAATTAGTGTTTTCAACGCAGCCATGGCCCTCTAGATTGAAATTTAAAATACGATTTTTCTTAAGCGAGAATGTCAAAAGTTGACATATGATAAGTCAGTCATTCTATTCAGAGTATCATTTTCTGTCGAATAAAGCAAAAAAATACGGAGAGTGCCATTTAAAAATCAAAAGTTGTAATCATTTCCGGTGAAACTGGAAGTGACCGAAAATAATTGAATATGTCAGTTAATCCTAATTAATGTCATATATTAACATACCAAATCTAGTTTTTTTATCTGAAAAAATAGAAAAGTTATAGGGGTGATCCACTTTTGAGACCCATCCGATATAGCGACGTTTGATATATTAAGCTGGCCCGTGTGCACATGTAATCCGTGCACTTGCAGCTCGCGACTAGAATAATTATCAGCGTCGTATTGAATCGCCTGATTTCACGAACTACACAAATTAAGTATTTAAATAGAATACATTTTAGTAGAGGGGATTTTTGGTGTTGCCTGCATAATTTTTTAATAAAATTAGATTAATAATTTAATTTGCAGCCTTAGATTGACGATTTGCTAGTCCAAAAAAAAGCATTTTTGGGGCGTGACAATTCCATTTTCTTACGCTGTGTCCTCAATGTATTGAATTAAATAAGAAAACGTGTTCTACTCATGTGATATGATAATTACTCACCAATTACAACTAAACTTAGTTGTATCGTTGTTATAAAAAGTTTGCGGAAAATCTTTCTGCAGGGTAAAAAGCCACATTTCCCTGTCGCATGGTGTCGGAAATGTTTTATTTATTTTCAAAGTTACAAAAACACCCGTCTCTTCCTTAACAACTTGCTCTGGAGGGGTTAGTATTACTGATTGAACTAAGTAAATTATGGTGTAAACGATCCACTTGAAAACGCTAAACACATTTGTTAAAATCTGAAAAAAATGTTGTTTTAATGTTGTAATAAATAATTGAATATTCCATAAAGCATATCTAATAAAATTTATCAAATTATTCATTATCTACTTAATTTCTTTCTTCGAATTCTACTAATTGACACCTACTATAAACTTAGATCTTATACAAGATCTAAGACTATAAACTAGAGCAGGTGTCAGGTAGGATCGAAAAGCTTTTAAAGTGTCAATCTTTGTCTTGCCTTTTGTGCAATTGGCGTTTGATCTGCAAGACGAAGACTTACACAAGTGCAAGACTGACACAAGACCAAGCATTCAAGGTTCTTGCAGTCTTGCATTTTTTTTTCATGTTTATATTTATGATATAAGAAATTATTGATTTGTTCAAAATTATTGTTTTATCTAGGTTTTTCTTGAAACATCAATTCATCCAAACTTCCGCGTTTATAATGGTGGTCCCAACTGTATTCCGGAAACTTCGGCAGCATATTTTAATTTAGCAGATAAAAATAAGTAGAAATGTTCGTATAAATGTATGTCCTAAAATGCTTAGTTTCGGAGATACAGGATGTAGAAGTTTCATTTTTATTTCGATTTTTCCCGATAATTTCTGAAGTAACATCAATATTTGGATAAAAATTGGTATCAAGGAGATTTTTGACATGAGAAATTTGATTTTGATGTCAATATGACTCCTATTTGTAGGGGACGCCACCTACATTTATACGAACGTTTTTTATTTATTTTCTTCTGCAGAATATGCTGCCGAAGTTTCCGAAATACAGTTCGGACCACCCTGTATTATCAGATTTATTTGTCCTTATGGGCACTTTCCAATATAAACTTGTTTCATTTAGCTATGATGTCGATTCTTCTTTAATTTATGAATACGTGATTACTAATACTAATCATTCCTTAATCTTTTTATTCAAAGCTGGTTGGCAATGCTTAATGTATATTTTTAACATGTTACCATTCTAAACAAATTTGTCTGTCTGGCAGAGCTGTTCTTCTTTTTCGGACATTTTCTATCATCAGATGTTGCCGGTTCTGGAGGTTCTAATTGGCATGTTGCTTGATAATCAAACATTCTAAAAAATACAATTATAGTCACAAAAAAACCAATGCAATATCAGTTAAGTATACAGGATGTCTCTGTCAAAAAAATAGACAATAAAGCTTCGTTCAGAACTTTGAATAAGAAGACTAAGGAAGGAGCATAATGCTATCCATGTATTCATGCATGGTGGGCGGAAAAAGCGCCATAAAAGCACTCTAGGGTGGGGATCCTTGACAGTTCTGTTTGACGATTCATTTGACACATTTCAATTTGATTTGAAATTTTGTGGATTTGTCAGTCTTTACGGAGCTTATTTTATGTTATTTATTATTTATTCTATTACTGATAGTTGTATAAAGGTAGTAAATTTAGATGGAAATTGTGGCAGAACTTAAATTAACAGTGACACTATCGCGATTTATCGAAAAAGATTCTAAAATAGTTGGTTGTGTAGCGTGCGGTAGATCTCGGCAAAAATTGAGTGAAATAATGGAACAACTTTTCGCTAGTAAGTGGCTATATAATATACATACGTGTAGTAAACCGATCATTTATGAAATTCAGTTAAATTAACTAAATTATATATTTTTCTTGCATTTTAGCTTTTATTTATTACTTGTCAAAGATTAGATGTCAAAGAATTTAGATACGTTAATTTGACTTACCTGCTTCAGTAGCGTATCGGATGTTTGTGTTAATAAATACTTGTTATAATTTATCTATTTTTATTAGAATTATATATTTTTATAACAATTTTGATAACTACCAACATTTATTCACAACGTAAAATAAAACAACAAATTATTGAGTCTACCCCACGTCTACCCTACATCATAGTTTTACATTTTTTAAAAAAAATTAGAACGACACTGATAAACCGGAATTTAAGTCGGCCATATTTGAGGCCCATCGCGGTGTACCTAAGATTTTTGATATGCTCCTTCCTTAGTCTTCTTATTCAAAGATTCAGAACCTCGCAACTAGTGGAATAAATTAGTGGTTTCAATTAGCGTAGAAGTTTGTTCCTTTAATTTCAATGTAATCATTCAGAACGTCCAAATTAGTGGTAGATATTTTAAATTAGTAGAAAAAGTTATCAAACTTTTACCTTCTCCTGCCTTCTCAACTTAATTCATTGCCTGGAAACTTATATGGTGAAATTTTGATAAAATAATTTAGTACTCACTAAAAACACGGTATGTCGCTAATGGTAGGAAAAATAATTTTTAGAGGTTACTAGTTTATTTGGTTGCCTGTAATATGCATATACAGGGTGTTTCCTAATTAATCTAAAAAATAAAAAATCGTTAGAAAATGGCTTAAGGCGGTCTCTTAATAAGTATATTTATTTTTTTCTCGGCAACCGTTTGATGAACAAGAAAAACTCAAAAGATCAATTTTGTTGAAAAAGGATGGCCAGTCAAGAAAAAAATATATTTTCTTTAAAAAAGCAGTAGTGTACCATTTATGTTAAGCAAAATATCGATTTTTTTTTTATTTTTTAACACCCTGTAGATCAGAAAGGAAGTACTTTAGACCTAATGGTTATATATAAAAGTTGTTTTAAGAACACATGAGGAATCACACCACAATTTTTTAAACTAATTAGAAAACACCCTGTATATTGTCAACTTGACAATGATTATTGATAAATCAAAAAATACCTTTTCTGTGAAAAAAGCCCGATTTTCGCAGGAAAAATTTTGCTTTTTATTGAATTTGGGCCTGCTTCTGCAAATACCGGTATGTTTTTTAATATTCTATCTATCTAAATTTTAAATATCATAGTCAGAAATAGATTACAGTTGAGGGTTGGAACCTTTGGTGTTACACAGCAAAATAAAAATACACTATTGTATTTTTATTTTGTCAGAAATAGTTTTATTATTTATTAACTGTAAAAATGGTATACTTATAAGTTTTATCAAATATTGTGATTTACTTTCTACCTTGTAGTCAAAATTTATATGTAATAAACTATAAAATATATATATTCTTATGTTTTATTAAAGTTACTCTGATATACTAATATATCAGGGTAACTTTAAAACTAAATCCTTTGAAATCAAATATAAACATAAAAAATTATCACAGCAAAAAAGGCGAAGGCGCTGGGTTAAACGTAGTCTCTACTAAGAACACGGAGGGGCGCTTTTTGACCCAAAATTTTACTATTAAATTTCATATCTATCTTAATAGAATTATTTTCTTTTATCTATGACTTAATTATACTTCAAAATTTACGATGAATGTCATTTTGGCCTTTGATTATCATCCGTCAAGAAAAATTGTGGTTAGAAATCAAAAATTTATTGTTTTTAAGGTAAAAATTAGACATTCTCGATGGATACAACTTATGGTACAAAGAAAACAAGTTATGATATTGCGCAGGTTGGTCGCTACGTTACAGGTGATAACAGGCGCTGTTAGCGTGCTGACCCCACGCTCCGCGCACCCATTCAAATCGTCAAGATATTGTAGTGAACCTGTTTTTTTTTTGTTTATATACCGTCATTGAACTATCGCTAAGCAAGTTACTGTGGAGCAGTGCGTGAAGAGTCAGGCTAGGAAGCCAGAGACCGGAGTTCGAATCTCGGCCGGGGCATAACTTTTTTATTTAATTTTTTAAATACTGTTGTATTCTATAGTTTATTTGTGTAGTATAAAAAAACTATTTATTCTGTTATTTTTTAATCTCCAGTATTAATATAAATTGATTGTTGTTGGTACAATACCTCATTTAATATAAAATAATAATCTAATTTTTGAAATGCATCGGGCCTTAATTGTACCTAAAAGTAATATATTTTTACAGTGGTATACCATATTGTAAATTATTTAATAGGTATTCCAGTCACTTAAAAAGTTAATTTGTATTGAATAATTGCCTACCATAAAAGGAAATTTGAGCTATAATCCTTGATGGGCATATTCTGGGTATACATGCAAGTACTTCCTCTAAATTTTGGGTTTCGTTCAACCGATTTATTCTCAAAACCTGAAACATCTACATATATAAAAAGAAGCACAGGTCACTAATTATAATAAACTTCACCCTTGGAATTACTTCCACTAATTATACTAAATTTCACACTTGGAATTACTTCTATTACAATTACAATACATTCATCTGCATTAGCATTTTCTACTTTTCGATGGGAATCAATCAACTTCCCAACATTTTTTAAATGATGTAACAATTCCTTTTGTGGTTACTTTTCCATAGATATCCTCATCTCTGCCCCCATAAACATCGCAAACTAAAAACTTAATAAACAATTTTATACCGAATATAGATATAAATTTAGTATTCTTACCTATTATCGTCCAAATCCATGTTAATAGATAATTAATATTTTCGATTTTTGTCTTTTATATTTAAATATATTTTTAGAACTGCTGGTTTTAGTAATTATTAAATTAAACGAACTAAAAAGTCAGAAAAAATAAACAATTCTTAACCATAACCCTAAAAAATACAAAAATCTCCTATCAACTTTCTTTATTTTTTATTTATTCATTATTTTTCTAGTGACGTCACAGGTGGTATGCGCGAACTGAACGAAATTGGAGCCGCTATCGATCATACCTTGTATTCTTTGTACCATGGATACAACTGACTACTGTAAGCTGTTGCTAGGGTATTCTATTAATTTTAATTGTGTTTTTTAGACATTGTGAATGATCCTAAACCCTTGTCTAAACTAAAAAAGTGTAATTGAAACCACTAATTCATTCCACTAATTGCGAGGTTCTGCATCAAGATTTTCACCTCATGATACAAAGAATACAAGGTATGATATTGCGCAGGTTGGTCATTACGTCACAGGTGATAAACGGCACCATTGGTCGGCAAGCACCGCGCGCCAATTTCAAATTGTCAACAGATGACATAATAAATGTAAAAATAATTTTTCAAATGTCAAGCTCCATGATTTGACATAACTTTTGGGGTTATGTCCTAATTCCTCCTTATTTTAGGTCTTTTTTTTATTAGTGGCGATTGAACAATACGGATATTTTTTTGTTTGGCATATGACGTCACAGGTGGTATGCGCAAACTTAACGAAATTGGAGCCGCTATCGATCATACCTTGTTTTTTTTGTACCATGTTTTCACCTGCTTTACAGTTTATACTTTTTAGTTTACGATCATTCACAATGTATAAAAACCCAATTAAAATTAATAGAATATCCTAGCAACAGCTTGCAGAAATGAGTTGTATCCATAAAATAAGTCTAATATTTAGCTTATAAAACAATAAACTTATGGGTTCTAACAACATTTTCTCTTGACGCATGATAATCAAAGGCCAAAATGACATTCCTCGCAAATTTTTAAGTATAATTAGTGGAAAAGTGAGAAGTTTGTTAACTTTTTCCACTAATTAAAAATTCCTACCACTAATTTTGACGTTCTGAAGGCTTACCTTCAAATTAGAGGAATAAACTTCTACGCTAATTGAAACTACTAATTTATTCCACTAATTGCGAGGTTCTGAGGTTCTGAATGAAGCTTAACACTTAAAATAATGATACATTCTTTGGCCAATGACCATATTATAGATAATGTACAAGGATGTCCCAAATTCGAGCTCATCAGTGGGATCTCGAAAAAAGAATATTCCCTATTTCATTCTTTTATGACTATGTCAATAGGTTTGATATGTAATTAATAAAGTGATCTTACCTGGTAGGTTTAAATACATTTTCCTTTATTAAGTAGTACATTATATCAGGTCTTATATCTCCAATAAATCGCCCAGTATATTCAATTTCGTCACTTAGCAAAATATACGCGTTGTTATCTAATATAAAACAATTCAGATAATCCGATTCGCAAGTGATCTTTCTACTACCAGTTCCCTTGCTCCACTAATAAATAAAAAATATATATTTAAAAAATTATGGAAAAAAGCTAATCTAGGTAAATATACAGGGTGTGCTATTTCTCATGTGCTATTCCTCACGTAAAAATAATATTTATTTTTTATAACAACAAAGTGAACAAAGGTCCGATTTTGCTTTGTTTCGTAGCTACAAAGTGTTTTTTTTATTTGTTATAATTTCTTTCCAAGTGCATTTAGCGATTGGAATTACATTTTGAGGGTAAAAGTTACTATAAGTGCTACATATTTTAATGCTATAAATGTCGACAGATTCACTAGTGACGTGCGTATGGGTACCATATTACCCATTCTATTATATAGGGTGATTCACGGCGATGGCACGTTAAACTTTTTAAAATAACTAGGGGTGGGCCACTTTTGAGACGCACCCGGTATATTTATTAAACAAATTACGTCTGGCAGTTTATACATAATTGTATTAATTAGGTTACTACTATATTATTTAACATAAGGAATATATAAAAATTTGTGAAAAAAAATGACTTGAGAAATAAGGATTATTATTATAAAGATTATTATACCTTAGTAGTAATTCTGCTATACAGTTTATACATGGCTTGATGATTAAATTCCAGACCCACTACAGCAACTGGTGTCTTCAAGTGACCTTTTTCAACAAAAATTGCTTTTGTTGCCTGTATCATGGTATTGTTTTCGTATCCTTAAAATAAATAATACTAATTTAAATAAAATTTAAAAAAAACATATGCTGACTTATTATATCTGTGGCACTGTAGACATGTAAAATTTTAATAATATTAATAAAGAATAAACAACTGCTTTATTTGATAGGTCCGATAAAAAAGTTACATAAATATAAGAACTATACCGGGTGCGTTTCAAAAGTGGCTCACCTCTATAACTTTTTTATTTTTTGAGATAAAAAACGAGATTTGGTATGTTATTATATGACATAAATTGGGATTAATTGACGTATTCAATTGTTTTGGACTGGACCTATCAAATAAAGCAGGTGCACTTCCTGTTTCACCGGAAATGCAACTTTTGATTTTTAAATGGCACCCTTGGTATTTTTTTACTTTATTTGATAGAAAATGACATTCTGAATAAAATGACATATCATATGTCAACTTTTGATATTCTCGCTTAATAAAAAATAGAATTTTAAAATTCAATCTAGAGTGCCATGGATATGTTAAAAACGCTAATTCTTAATCAAGAAGCCTTGGAAAAATAGATTTCATCGTCTAATGTTTTTATTGTCTTGTTCTGGCCAGTTAGAAAATGCCCAAATCGTATTTTTAATCATATCTCAATTTTTTCAAATGAAACGAGGGTGGCTCATTAGCATATTTGGAATAAGAATTTTTTTACGAATAATTTGATACCACACACTTGGTATTTCGAGTCAAATTTTCGTTACGAACCGCAAGTTATAATTTCAAATAAACCACATGCAAAAGTGTCAAAAGTTGACATATGATATGTCATTCTGTTCAGAGTGTTATTTGTTATCAAATAAAAAAATACCGAGGGTGCCATTTAAAACTCAAAAGTTGTAGTCATTTACGATGAATCAGGAAGTGACCGAAAACAGTTGAAGATGTCAATCAATTCTAATTTATGTCATATACTAAGATACCAAATCTCGGTTTTTTATCTCAAAAAATAAAAAAGTTATTAGTTAAGGGTGAGTTACTTTTGTGACGCACCCGGTATTTGATACCAATTAAACTTTTAGTTCAGTAATCAAGGGCGCGCGATTTTTAAATTCATTGTTGCCAACCATGGACATATTCGGCTTGTAACAGATTATTTCCTTTATATTATTATTTATATTTATTAAGAGATTATTTTCTGTCCTTTACGTTCAAGTCGATGTTTTTCGGTTGTTAGTTTCGATAGAGGGTCTTTTTAACAGGAAGTAATAAAACAAACAACTTTCAAACGTGAATATTTTTAAATTCCAAAACTTATAGAAGGACAAAGCAAATAAACTGTAAAACTTAGAAGTAAATAGAAAAATTGTAAAGATAGACTTTAGATAAAAACGTTGGGACGTTGTAAAACCAATAACCACCCTTGATAACATGTTTAACTATCCCCGGATGTTTGTAAAGGATCTGGGAACTTTAGAAAAACACGTACCTAGATGTAAATGGCGCCAAATGAAGATTAAATATGTAAAAAGGTAATAGTACTGCCATCTAACAACTGGAGGTTGAACCAACTTGGTTTGAAGGGCGGTGTCAAGCTGACCAATCAAACAAAGAAGAGTACCTTCAGGAATGACCTTATTGGCTAAGTACCGAATTCACCACCCTGCATCCCTGTAATGCTGGAACCTCGGGGCTGTTTTTAGGCAGAAAAGTTAGTGCGGTTTGAGTTTCTAAAAGAGACGGTTCTCCCTTGGGTTCGCGAAACTCGGTAAGGTTCACGATGTGACCCCCTGTAGTTTTTAAGTCTGGTGTCTGCTAATAGATATGTTTTTGACTCCTTTTGTCAAATATTCTTAATTTCTGTTTTATTCTTCTTTAAAATTATTTTAATGTGTTGTATAGTCTGTCCAACGAGAAGATCCTTGACAGTGATAGATGTGTCTGTCATTTTAATTTCAAAGTAGTTATTTTATTTTACAAAGAAATAAGTTGGTACAACTGGAACGAATAGCAGGATATATTTAAAATTTGATTGACAAGATGACAAGTGATTACTTCAAAATATTGTGAAAAAAACTGTATAAAACAATGACTAAAGAATCCAAGGACAAATAACACCCGACAGCAAATTGTGACGCTGGCATCAAACAGTGCAGTGGCACATATTTTTCTTAACCTAGCTGTTTGAAGCAATATTTATATTTTTTGATAATTGTTTTGACTACGCCTATGGTGTATCATCTTAACTAATTACGAAAAAAACGTACTAAAATGTTAACAAAAGATACAAAACTAGTATCGACGTATAGCACATATCAAGTACATGTAGATGTTAAATTGAAATTGAAGAATAATTATCGAATTCAATAAGAAAACGTAAAAAGTTGGAGTGGACTGTTTATTTACCTATGAAACGTAACTCCTGGCTCTTTCTTGTCGCTGTGGCTTTTACACTTGAAAGCTACACAATTCACCATTAGCAACAAAGTTTATACAAAGTTCACTACACACAACAAACTATTAAAAATCGCTAAAATTGTCGCTGGTGACTGGATGATGACTCACTGTTTGGCATCAAACGAATGGCGTCTAACGTCACAAATTCTACTACAGCCCGTACAGGGGCGTTACATGTCCTTATATTCTTTAGTCATTGGTATAAAACTGAAAAAATGTAATTGAGTTATTTTATTTAATAAAAACTGTATGTGTTAATACATAACAAACAAGAACAAGACACTACATACCAAAAAAATATAAAAAAGAACTACATATTATTTACTTTCAAGCTTTATGAAACTACCCGCATTTATGATTATATTTATCAATATAACTTATGTACAAATACAAATTTGTAATATTCCACAGGAATAAATAAAACAACATAGGTAAATAAAACAAACTATTTTATTAATAATAACACCTACCAAATTTTATACCTTAAAAGTTGATTAATTAACTTAATAATTATTACTTATCTTAATTTTTTTTAAACCAGTACCTTTTGACATTATTTTTCTGCAGTACTAAAATCCATTATTTACCTATCGTGTGATGTCGATATTTTACAGCTACTCCAGTTTTTAGTATGTGTTTAGTTTGATCCTTCTACCATATACGAGATGCACTTATCTAGGACGAAATGGTATACAAACTTTATCGATGGCAACTTCATTTGGTGTATAAGACTTTCTGCCTGGGCAGCGAGTATTAACCATAAACTGTGCTCTGGGTCTGAGTTAATTTTCACTCGATTTTTCCTCCACTTGACTTCAAAAAGACACAAAACACACGTAATAATACGAATCAAAATGCATCATCTTCCAAAACGCAGGGTATTTAACAAAAGTTGACACAAAATTATAACCTATAATTTGGCAAGACTTTGACAAGCGTCAAAAATGACAAAAATCTAAAGGCGAGTTCATACGCATCGGCGTCCGTTTGTCGTTCATCTTTCCGTCAAACCAATAAAATTGAAATACGATGTGTCATTTTTTAAATAAACCGTACGACGTATGACGGATTTATATTTAAACCCATCCATAGATAACTTAAAAATTATTAGAAACTTTTTTTAGTAAAATAAATAGATTGGTATGGGACGTCATCTGTTTTTCTTCTGTCATCGTCTGTCGAAATCTTACCTGAGAAAAAAAACAGAGTATAGCAAGATTTAGTAATGAAAGGTTTAATTGATTATATAATTATCATATTTTTCAATAAAAGCAGACGCCAGACAATTTTCAAGTATTTTTTCTATTTTTTTTTATTCTGAGTAATAATAAGTAACTTAATTTTTTATATTTATTTTCTTTTTGTTCTTTATTTTTTTCTTTGATATTAAATTTAAATGTTTTCTGAAAACTCGGCAGTTTTATTTCTATAGTAAAAATAACCAAGAGTGTTTTAAAAGTATATAAATAAAATCTTTATGAACAAGCAGAATATCTCCAGAACAGTCCAGAAAAGTCTAGAGAAATGAGCTACAGATTTACAGACAGAGGTTGGGCCGCAATTACGGTAAGTTATAGTAGATTTGTGTAACTAACATCATCAAGTCAAAGCATTAAACATACGCCCCAAAGAATCGGTGTACTTTGTATCCAAGTTTGCCTTCCGCTCAACTTAATTGTTTTTTTATAATTATAAAATAGTCACGCTACCCATAACAAAAAATGATGAATCTGAAAAGATTTGTCACAGGCTCCGGGCTGACTAATTGGAATTTAAATTTCCCGCTGGGGATTCAGCTGGTGGCTCTGCTGTAAAAATGTCAAGTTGTCACATTTATTTATTTATTTCATGACATTGTTATTCGTTTTGGTATGACGTGTTTTGGTTTAAATAAATAGTGTTGTGATACTTTAAGCTTAGAAATGTGTAAAACTTGGAAAATAAGTTCGTCATAATAATGCTTTTATTTATTCACTATTACATTAGTAATGCTAAAACACTCTATTTTAAAGTCGATTAGAGAAAATAGTATGATTCATTGGCAAGCGATGTAAATATTTGTGATCAGGTAAAATTGTGATGTAAGAGAAGGCTTAGCTTGCCTGCGGCAGGTCAGTAGTTGTTAGGCCGGCAGGCTGTTGTGTTGTGTTTTGTCATAGAGCTGATATTTGGGGGTTGAGAGTCTTTTAACTATAAACGTTGCAAGTACTGTAAGGCAACGGGTCGTTTGACCAGAAGAAAACCTCTTGTGACGTCTTGCCTTCGAGGTTGGTCTTGAGAGTTTGAGGTCTCCCTTGTCTTCTCGATTGACACGATGCGGCGTTGGGGTAGAGAGACTGGTGAGGTACCCCAATTAGCTTATTCGATTGGGATGCGAATCTGTTTAGCGGCAGAATTGCGTCCGGGGGAAGTCCCTATACTATTTCAGGTGACACTAGCTAGTTGTTGAAGATGATTAACCAATATATAACAGAATGATATTTGAATTAGATGGAAAATATGGAATGGGATATATTGAATAGAATATATCAGTGGCTAGGGGGCGGAGTACCCCAGGGTGAGTCTTACTATTTAACTATCAATTTTATCCAGATCAGTAAATGTTTGTTTTGTTATTTTCATGTACAATGAGAGAGTGCTTGCCAATGACCAACTAATTGGATATTTGAGGCGAATTTGCATTGTGAGACCCGGTTGAGTAAGCCCCAGAAATAAGTGATTTTACAAATGTTTACTACCAGACCTTGCAGTGGGACATTGCTCTTTTTAGAACCTCTTTTAGTGCAAAGTGTTCAAGATATACGCATCGCAACTTTATTAGAATATTATGAATCGAAAAGCGGTAGTAAGGGCCTTTTATTTCCCTTAAGTGCTATTAAGGTGGTGAGTTTTGTTGATGTAAATAATAACTGTTTATACGTTTATAATTAATTTCTTTTAGTTTCCTAAAATATTTTGATTAAAAGAAAATATGTAAAAGTGGGCAACGCTGTGCCGGTCAAGCTTAATCACGTGACTAAAAGTTTATTTGATATGAGCTATATACTGATTATTACCGGATATTTCAAAAGGAACGGAAAAAATAAACATATCTTCATCGTCGTAATTTTCTTCAACAGCTCTTTGGTACCAGTCTTCATCAGTAGCACCGCCACTGATTTCTTCAGCTTCTTCATACGATCCTTGATAAATATCAAAATTAAGAATTTTCCATCTTGTTAATCCAGAACTAGTAGACACGAATACTTTATGGACGTGCTTTGGCGTCAGATATCTAAAAAGTTATTTCAGATTTGTCTAAACTTTATCTTTAATGGTGTTATTTTAAAGCGGGCAATATAAAAAATTATATAGGAAAGCGGAGAGGTACCTCAGGACTTTAGCAATGCGAATATAGTGAATATATTTAAGAACAAAGAAAGTGCATCAGACTGCGGAAATTACCGGGGAATTTCACTGTTGGCTATCGGAGGAAAAAGTCTTGCAAAAATTATGTCAAATCGCCTGCACCCACATACAGAAAAAATCCTTCCAGAATCGCAAACGGGTTTTCGTACCAACAGTGGCACCGTCGGCGTCGATTCCATATTTTCCATCCGCCAACTACAGAAAAAAGTAAAAGAGCAGCAGTCTAAACTTTATGTTGCATTCATCGATCTAACAAAAGTCTTCGACTCTGTGAACAGAGATGCACTTTGGGCAATTATGAAAAAGTTCGGATTACCCAACAAATTTGTTACAGTGTGTAAAAGCCTCCATAACGACAACCAGTCAAGAGTGTCACATCATGGATCACTGAGCGATCCCTTCCTAACAATTACAGGAGTTAGGCAGGGATGTGTCTTAGCGCCTCTCCTATTCAACATATTCATGGCAGCGCTCTCCATTATAGTGGACAGCAAACTGCAGAAGAGAGGACTGGGCATTAGATACAGATATAAAGGCGGTCTGTTCAACATTAAAAGACTCAGGGCAAAAACATGTAGAAAATTCCAAACCAAAATCATGTGCACTCCCCCGGAAGATTATAGCAATGCTATAAAAATCGGAGAAGAACTATTGGAATATATAGCGGAATTTAATTACCTCGGCAGTTTGATTTCGGAAAAGGCCAATATCGACTCTGCAATTCAGCACAGGATTAGCAGCGCCTCAAGAGCATTCTGGAAATTAAAAGACAGAGTTGTTTACAATCATGACTTGAGCACAAAAACGAAACTACAGTGTACCGAGCAATAACAATCTCCATCATGTTATATGGAAGCGAAACCTGGATGCCGTACCGCCGACATATGAACGCTTTAAACAAGTTGCAACAGAGACACCTTAGACAACTGTTAAGAATCAAATGGTACCACCATGTCTCAAACGTATCGGTCCTTGAAAAAGCCAAATGCGAGAGTATTGAAATCATGGTTACAAAATCCCGCTTAAGATGGGCTGGTCACGTATGCAGAATGCAAGAAAACCGCATACCAAAATCTCTGCTTTACGGTGAGCTTGTAGACGGTAAGAGGAGGCCGGGTGGGCAACTCAAAAGGTACAAGCACATTTTCCATGAAAACTTAAAAGGGATTAACATGCAGAATCATTGGGATGAAGCACAATAGAACTCAATGGAGAAGAATTGTAAACTCAGTTAACAGCGACAACCAAAAAGTAAAGAGGCAATAAAGCAATGAGATTTTTGAATGTCCGAAGTGCGGTAGGCAAATAACATCACGTATCGGGTTTTTCAGTCACAGAAAAGCTCATGGAAGAAAACGCCTTGCGTGACCATCTTTTGATGCGTGTCGAATACTCGTCAGCGAGTAATGGCAGTGTGTATGTATTTTAAACCAAAAACCAGTCTACGTCATACCATTTTGTTTCGGAATTTTAACGAAATTATTATTAGTTAATTCGAGATGATGAATACCGGGACATAGGGGTGACGTGTATTGGTTATTATCAGATAATACGGCAGAACAACTTAAATATTCCGCAGAAAACATGCCTAAAACTATTAAAGAACGTAAATCTAACACTTTCCGAAATATTGGAATGTGAGCATTTTGCTATTACCCTTGATTATAAACAGCGGTATTACTAAAATACGATTTGCTATAGACATATCAGTAATAATCGTTTAGCCATGATAGCCAGTATCCAAAAATCCTAGTTCAAATAATTTCTATGCGAAACCTGGATACTTAAAACGGACATTATAAGGAAACTAAAAAAAAAATAAAGTCGCAAAACGCTCAATGGAACGAAATATGCTGGAAATAACCAAGAAAAACCGTAAAAAAATAAAGTGGATACGACAAAAAACCCAGGTAATAGATGTCATCCACAGAATTAAATCCCTCAAGTAGAAAAGGGCAGGACACTTGGCAAGAAGGACAGACAACAGATGGACCACAAAATTTACAGCATGGTACCCACGAGGAATTAAGAGACCTAGAGGAAGACCAAACCTGAGACGGGACCATGACATTAGGAAATTAGCAGGGATAACTTGGGCCCGCACAGCCAACAATAGACAACAATAGGCCCAACTACAAAGAGATGAACTAAATATGAGAGGGCGGCACACCATAATTGGAAATAGTTTAATAAGCTCAATAATGATGAAACGATTTCATCAGAATTATACTTACTTGTCTTCGGAGTTTCTTATTTTGGGCATGGAATCATCAAACCAATGTAATTTTTTGACATCGTACATTAAGTTATTATATAGAGCTGTTCCTAAAACACCATTAATAGGTAATTACATTAAGGAAACAGAATGTCTGTGTTTTATTTTAATTCTTAATACATACAATACTAAAATCACCCTCAAACATAGATTTTAGTAGAATATTATGACATAAAATTATATCACGCCAATTATAATATCATTGTATATTTCTAAGAAATTTTTGATACAAATGTTATGATAGAGGTCTATAAAATACTTGATTTAGACCTGTATATCTCCTAAATAAAAACTATTAATTATTAAAATAATAATAAAAAACAATTGACTAAAATTTGTTCTGTAAAAATCATTGTTGTCACTTATTGTTTTCACTCGATATAGAAAACTCACTATTGGTATTTCAGATGACCTCATATAGATCGCTCTAGAACCTACAAGAGCTTGTACCATTTGGATTGTGTCCAACGCATAACAATTGAAGTTTGATATTGTATTCCTGGAAGCAAAAAATATATTTCAAATATATTTTATTCCAGTTTTTTTCTGCCAAAAACGATATTGTTCAGTTAGTTATTACGTCGTTATTTAACATCTACGGATAGTTGTCAATATATTTCAGTATCTATCTGTATTCCATCAATAAAATAAAATTTAGTGTATATTTAGTTTTTCCAATGTTGTAATCAAGTTGCTATCGTGTCTTTCATTATTATTTATGTATGATTCCAATTTATTTTGTGCTCTATGAGTATTTTTTTGTAAATTGTATTTGTTGTTGTTGTTGTTTGTATATTTTGTTTTGTGTTCTTTAGTTTGTAGTTTCACATTGTATTGTTTTATGTTTAATAATGTTTTTAGTTATCTCTTCTATATTTCTTCTGATGTTGCATGTGAATAACTATTCAAACAAATTGTCATTTTTCTACATCTCTACATTTCTATGGTTTTTCGAGAACACACGAATGCATAACAATGTTAGAGATAAGAAACAAATAAAGAATGAAAATGACCCCAAAAAAGCAAAAACGCTGTTTTTTCGGGTAAAATATGATGGCAACAATTTTTTGAAATCATCCTAATCAATTATCTTCAAAAAAGAAGCCCCATTACAGGAGAATACTACACAACATTACATTATGCTGACAGAAATCGCAGCAAAATGGGCACATCTGCAAAAGGAAGTATATTTGTTTCACCAAGATAATGCACATACAAGACATCTCACATTTCTGCGGTTGCTAAAAAGAACATTCATGAATTATAGTTTGGACTGCTAGACAACCTTCCTAATGGACCAGATTTAGCTCCCAGTAATTTCTCATATTTTCCAACGAAGAAGTCATCACCTTCAGAGACAACTATTTTGCTCACCAAGAGGGCGCCAAGTACTATTTGGCCGAGTTGATGAAGTTGGAGCATCGATAATATAATGTGTTTTGTCTCTGAATTTATATCTCCAGAAGTGTTTTCGAATTCCAAATTTCAAAGTCTTTGGATTTTTTCATTATCTTCTTTCTTCTGTTACTACCGGTTCTTTTATTATTTTTTATTATTCGAATTCAATTTGTGTTTGCGTTTCATGAGTATTTGTAAATTTGTATATGAGAAAGTCTTTTTCCTCCATTATATTTTGTGTCTTTTAATAAGTGTTACGTTTTATTTGTGTATACCGACACTGTTTTTGCTACATGTTAATGTTATGTGTTTGAGAGTTATATGTGAGTTACTATTCAATCTAAATCAAAATTTGAGCTAATTTTTCTCTATTTTTCTACAATATTTCTCATCTCGTTTTGATTTGTCTCACATCATTATGGAAAACAAATTTATTTCTTAAAAAAATAATTATATTATTTAGTTTTTGGTTTGGTAGTAGGGATTCATCAAGTCAAGTAGCTTGATGTTTTTAGAAACTACTTGACATGACTTGAAAAAGCAAGTATTTTAGACTCTCACTACTTGTAACTTGATTTTCAATCGTTACTACTTGACTTGATATCAAGCAGTTTCAAGCTACTTGATATTACTTGATTGCATCTTGTCGCACTGCGCATCTTATACTAGTGATTGGACATCGGTCATCTAACATCGATGATAATATTACTTAATATTATGGATGCTGATAAAATATCGGTTGAAAAATATCGATGGTTTAAAACATTATTATTGATTATTGGTTAGTCTTGATAAAAATAAAATACTTGGCCCTTTAACGGCGTAGAAGTTACAAGTCTAAAATCCCTATCATATGGCCTAACTATATGTAGATAAAGCACTTGACCGAATCCTAATCCACCTTTTGATATGGTTTCCTTGCTTTTTAAAAAACGACGCATCAGCAAATTCAAAGTGACATTTGTAATTTATTTTTTTTACTCAGTAGTTTTATACAGGTACGGACGAAAAGTTATTACTCTTCAAACAGTTAAAACATAGGTGGGTGGTGTCCTCTACAGGTAGGAGTCATATTGACATCAAAATCAAATTTCTCATGTTAAAAAACTCCCAGACACTAATTTTCATCCAAATATTGACGATACTTCTGAAATTATTTGGAAAAAATTGAAATAAAAATGAAACTTCTACACCCTGTATCTCCGAAACTAAGCATTTTAGGACACACATTTGTACCACAGATTATACAGATTATAAACTTTGTTTTTTCTTTATTTTCGTGGTTCCAATTTTCGGAATCGGGCACTAGTTAGGTTACTAGTTTGTACACATAGCACGCCCACTTATGGCCTCTTAAATTGTGCATAGCGTCTGACCGGCACAGTTATTAGAGAGATATCGGAAAACCGAATAGCGTCATGCAGTATTTACGCGTACCTTATCATGGTTACGCTATGCGCGAGTCAATTTTTAACACCCGCTAATAACGTTACCGCCTGACGTAATTTGCGGATCAATTACACCAAGGGCTCTTTCTAAATAACGTTTAAAAATTGCTTAAATGGGCATGTGCGGGTATTTGACAACCGGGGCCGGCCGGCGAGATCTTTTATTTTAGGTTATGTTTGAATTGTTTTGAATTATTACTTTAGTTTTATTAGGTAATTTGATATTTAAGTAGCTGGGATTAGTTTTAATTAAATAAGTATGGCTCAAAATATGGATTCCACCTCTTCCAATATTAAAGAACCTATAAGGAGGCTTAGGTTTACAGCAGATGACGACTTAGCCCTTCTAAGACAATTTGTTGCTTGTTGCCCTAAACCCACTGGCAGACGTTGAACAGTAAAGCACTGGAAATAAGCACTTTAGCTCTTTAGTTTTGAAATACCTAGTAAACAAAACAATTTCAAAGTTTTAAATTCAAAGTTAGGTTAAGTTTAAATAGCGGACGCGACGCGAACAGAATTCTTTCCTATCCGATAACTATAAATGAAGAGAGTTAATACCACCTCACGTAAAGGAAATAACACCTGGCCTTATTAACGTCCATGCACGCTATTCGGTTTAGCGATATCTCTCTATTACGCTGTTTATTGTTATTTTAGGTGAGCTTATTTTTGCGCACAGGAAATTTTACTCCTTTGCACATCGTCATAAAAAACAATTTACGTACCACGAATTAAGCTTGATTTTTATGCATCCGTTATCCGACGATACGATGATACGATATTAATTTTATTGGTTGAATTTAAAGACTTCGATTGGTTAGAAACGGTTAACCAATCTAAGCCTTTCAATTCAACCAATAAAATTAATATCGTATCATCGCATCGTCGGACAACGAATGCATAAAAATCAAGCTTAAGGGATAAGATTTTTATCTGTATACATATAGTATACCTAATCTGTGTTTATACGAACTTATTTACTTATTTTTACCTGTAGAATATGATGCCGAAGTTTCCGGAATACAGTTCGGACCACCCTGTATATTTTCTTTTTGGATAATCTATATTTACGTTATTATTATCTATTTACGTTAATAAATAGTTTCTTACTTTATTTGGTTTTTATTGTTGTTTTAATCTGCGATTTTTGTTAACATTAGAATTTAGTTTTTTCAATAAAGTTTATTATTGCAGGATTTTGTGGTTGATTAAAAATATCAAATGAAACTTAATACAAAGTAAATTAATCAAGTAGCTTGACAAAAATCAAGTAGTTGTGAGCAATGGATTGACTTTTCAAGTACTTGAAATTGAAACTACTACTGACTTGAACTTAATTTGATTTCAAGTCAAGTAACTTGAAAGTCAAGTCAAGCTGTGAAGCCCTATTTAGTAGTGATAATTAACAGCCGATAAATATTCGAATCTCTTAAATTTATTGCCAACCAAATGAGCAAAATCAGAATAACCAACTATTTCAATCGTTGTTGATCGGTACTGAGCGATTACATCTAAAAATTCTGCATACTTACGATAAGAAGGATGATAATAAGCGTACACGACTTTTTCTATGGGATCTTGTATAACATAAGGACAATTTTTACAGTATATCCTAAAACAAAAAAAAATGTTTAATTTGCACAGGGTATTAACAAAACAATACCTACCATTCGGGGTGCACTTTCCAGTTTCTATTGTTAACGATAAATTCTGGAGGAGGGTCATGAAAGTTATGCATATCTGCCGTTTTATTCACCTTCACATATCCATATTTGTCTGGCAATACGATGCATAAAGTGAATGGTCCAAGTTCGGTAAAATGGTAATGCCTAGTGGCTCGTATAATTCGTTTCTAGAATATCAATAAAAAAAAGAGTAAAATCGAAATTTGAAAAAAGGCCTATGAGCGGTTCTCCATAAACTTCTAACCTTCCAAGTAGTAGAGTACCCAGAGACTTTTACCTCGGAATTCAATTACTGTGAATGTATTAACGTGAAACCTTCTGTATTGTGTTTTGTAGATAAAATACTAAAATGTTTACCCATTTTTTTCGTTGCTTTTATTTTTTTATTTTAGTAATTTTAGTGAATTGTTAGTTACTTCCTTCTTAATTTTTTGATTTTTTAATTTTTTTTGTAAGTAAATTTATTGAAATAAATGAATATAATGCATAAGCTATACCTATTCTGCTTCTATTCTAATCATTGAAATTTTGATTGAAATCGAATTATACAGGGTGGCGCGTCATATACGACGCGGTTTTTGCAAGGAGAAAAAAAGGGTTTTCTTTCTTGTAAATTTAATCGACTACCTATTAGTCTAAGAGCTGGCTACATAAAAAACCTTATCATCGTTATATGGCTAATTTTTTGTGTGAAGTATCCTTTTGTGTAGCCATTATGAAATAGTCATGTCTGCCAGCGCGATCCCGGTGCTTAAAGCGGGGACGACCAATCGAAAGGGTGAAATTTGGACATTAAAATATTATAAGATACACGAGTTATAATTGCGAAAATAGCTTTTATCTATTATTAAGAAACATGGAAAATTGTTGGCAGACCTTTTTCTGGTCGCTAAAATGCCGACAGATAACGCGAAAGATGCATGAAATTTTAAAAATTATCTCGAAAATTCCACACCTGTAAATTTTAACCAATCAAAACGTGTTTTTTGACAAATCACCATGGCAACGGTTAAATTTTAGTAATTTTTTTTTTCCTTGTGGACACCCAACAGCGAATTATACTGGAAATTTTTTGACGTTTATAATGACAGAATATCTTTTTGAGAGTCTGGTTTTTATTTGTTTACATGATAATTTTGATAAATTTTAATTACAAAGCTGAGATGAAAGTTTGTAAACTGCGTCCATACGCTTGACTTCGATTTCCTAGTATTCGCGGGTGTCAACTGCTTAATCTCCTGGCGAATATTTTCTTTGTTTTCATGACCGAAGCGAAACATTTTTTTTAAGCCGTGCCGCTTGACAGCTTCAAAACTGAAATAGTTTTAAGGTTTGGGTGTCACTTAGTTGTCATAGTAACTAAATAATCAATTCGACCAAATATCGAAAAATACATTTTAATTATTTGATTTTCAAACACAATTTGGTGTGGAATTTTCTTACCGAATACCACACGAGGTCAAATTATTTCCGGAAATTTTTTCGAGCTCATGAATATTTTGAAAATTATTCCGAATCGAAGACGAGGGATAATTTTCTAAAAATATTCATGAGCGAGAAAAAATGTCCGGATTTATTCGACCTCTAGTGGTATTACCAGGTATTACTAGTGAAAATTATTAAACGATGAAAAACTATGATGAAAAATGTCTGTCACCACGAGAAAAATGTCTGTCAACAGTTTTACACGTTTCTTAATAATAAATAAAAGGTATTTTCACAATTATAACACGTGTACCTTATAATATTTTTAGTGTCAAAATTTCACCCTTTCGATTGGCCGCCCCCGCTTTAAGCCCCGGGATCACGCTGGCAGACATGACTATTTCATAATGGCTACACAAAAGGATAGACAAAACACAAAAAATTAGCCATGTAACGATAAGGTTTTTGATGTAGCCAGCTCTCCGTCTATATGTCGCCATTAAGAAATTATGTTTTTTGACTAAAAACGAAAAAAAAAATCCAAAATTTTTTTAAGAAAAACTGAAATTTTCAAAAAAAATTTTTCGCGAAAAAAATCTCATAATCCTGTTTTCTGGTGTCGAAATATACTACCTCTAAAATTTTTTGCACTTATTTTAGAGCAAAATAAAAACACTAACACACTCTTTATAATTAATTATAAACAGTTTATAATCATCTGCTGATGATGCTAACATGGTTAGCGAAACGCGCGTCCAGTGTAAAAGTAAAAGTGTTTTGGTGTATTGTGGTGATTTAGTGTTTTTATTTTGCTGTTTAACACCAAAGGTTCCAACCCTCAACTGTAACTTATTTTAGACTCACCCTGTATATATGTTTTTGGTATATTATAGGGTATTGTAAACTTACCATATTATCTAGAGTGTACTTCATTTTTAAAGTACAATTTCTACCTTCCCGTTTAAGCATCATTTTTCGTAGCTAAAAAATAGTCATTTAATTATTGCATTTTTAATTATACAGGGTGTTTCAAAAGACATGTGCGGCCATCTCTCGTGGGGGATTTCTCACGTAAAAAGTAGATTTATTTTTCATATCAAGTTAGGTCCGATTCTGCTTTGTTTCGTAGTTACAGGGTGTTAAAGTCTTAATAATATTTCGATTTATTATAATTTTCGTCCAAGTACTTTTAGTGACTCGAATAAAATTTTGAGGGTAAAAGTTAGTAGTAAGTAGTTAAATGGCGACATATTTTAAAACTAAAAAAATGAGATGAAACTTTAATTTTCTGATTTTATTTATTTATAGAGAAGGTATTATTTTCTAGAGCCGATATCATAATATATCGGGTGTTTCGCAAAAGTGGTTCGCCCCTGTAACTTTTTTATTTTTTCTGATAAAAAAACGAGATTTGGTATGTTAGCATATGACATAAATTAGAATTGATTGACGTATTCAATTCGTTTTTATCACTCCTTGATTCACCGGATATAACTAAAACTTTTGATTTTTAAATGGCACCATTGCTATTTTTTTACTTTAATCGATATAAACGGCATTAAACGGCCGACACAATTTTCATATCAAAAGAAAAAAGTCAGTGGTGCACATGTTTTTTCTTTGAAAAATATTCCAGTGATAACAGCACGTCCCTGATGCAGTTATATACACTTTTTAGCATTAAAATATGTAGCACTTATAGTTTTTTATATTACCCTGAAAATTTCATTCGAATCGTTAAAATTTACTTGGAAGAAAAATATAATAAATCGAAAAAATAGTAAAACTTTAACACCCTGTAGCTACAAAACAAAGCAAAATCAGACCGATGTTGATATGAAAAATAAATATTATTTTTACGTGAGAAATCTCCCCACGAGAGATGGCACATGCTTTTTGAAACACTCTGTATATGTGTATAGTTTAAGTCATTATTCTTCAGAAGTCTCTTTCAGAATTCAATTCAATCAAGAATTTTTCAGATAAATTTTCGCGAAAAATAATAGCTGTCATTTTTCATGTGTTATAATTAAGGGTTATATAGTCAAAGGTTACAATAATGCTATAATAATACCGTATGATCGAATAAAAACGACGTCCAGTTGGCTTGGAAATGACGATCGATGGCATTTCCTATATAAATTTACATATAAAATGACAGCGATCTTCATTTCATAGTCATCGCTGACGCCGTTTTTATTCGATCATACGGTACCTATTATAGCATTTTATTAGTCGATCATACCAACAGGTATGGTAGGCTATTAAGATCGGCAAAAAAATTTTTTTTTAATTCCACTCGAAATGAGTTATTTGGGTCATAAATGACCTAAATACAAAATATTTTCATGATGTCTGTCTGTCTGTCTGTCCGTCCGTCTGTCTGTAAGACGATAACTCAAAAACCGTTAAACCGATTTTAACCAAATTTGGCACAAAAATACTGTGGCACCCGAGAATCTGGCCATTAGTTTTGGGGGGGGGATGAGAAGGCGGTACGGGAGGGGGTTAAAAATTTAAAAAAATCGTAACTCGAAAATTACAGTAGATAGCGAAACGCAGCTTTGAATTTAAGATTAGGAATAATATTTGCAACAAAATTTGTAATAACATCAAAATCAGTCAAAGTCGCAGTTTTTGAGATAATTGAAAATAAAAGAACTGCCTACCAACTTTTTATTAATATATTTTAGTATGGGCGGCTATACGTGCCTCCCGGCGCCAATTTTTTCCTTAAAATTGACACTTTTCAGACAACATATCAAAAATATGGTATTTCCTAATGTATCAATTTTCTGTATAGAGATACTTACTTTTACAATTTCTTTTCCAAATATCCTTGGTTGGTTTTCATCGTCAAGTATTTCAGTCTCCAGAATATCAACTCTATTGAATGTAGGTTTTAAAATATATTCAAACTAAAAGAGATAATAAACTAATCAAAACGATTATTGTATATTTTTAAAAAATATATAACTCAGATGCATATAAAACGCAACAGAAAAATTTTTGGTCAAGTTTAGAATGTTATATTTTTTAATTTTGGCTTTATTTCCTTGATTTTTTAGCAAACTGTATATAAATATATCAACTTTAATTCGTAAACTCAGTTTATCCATGAACTTTAGTATTTGACTTATTATACAGGGTTAATCGAAGATTTGTTTTTTACCCTGTACAATAATTTCATCAGCAAATTTTCCTAAAATATTATTTTTCGGTCAGAACCATTTCCTGAATAATTTATTTTTTGGCTCATGTCAACACATCCCTTGGTTAATTTTTAAGAGCAAATCGAATTTCAAAAAAATCCGCCATCTTAGCCGCTATCTTGAATATCTCACTTCTGGTTCAGATTTCGCTCTGGCAACAGGCAGAAGCGGATTCAGCGCTCTCGAATTAAGGGGAAAAGGGTAGTTTCCAAAAAGTAATATGAAATGCTTCTCAAACTTAAAATTTCCGAAAAAGAGACTAGACTACTAGTTCTTAATCTTAATCTTGATTATCACAGAATTGATTATCACTAACAGGAGCCCGTGCAGGACAATTTACACAGATCTAACACGTCTTGCGGCCACTACCTCGTCCACTTCAATAAGAATATCGAGACACAGCTAGTCAACAGCCTTCCAGTTCAAAACCAAAATGATCTCAAAGCACTCAGTGTGGTATATAGGTAACTTACCTCTGTACGATGTTCGGGATGCATTAAAATATATCCATTGTTGGTTATAATGAAAGCATACCCATTAACACCAATCTGTAATAAGTATATGTCTGTAATATATTTTTATTTATTATAGTGGCTCCACCAAAGCAACATAAATAAACATGAAAGAAATACATTACAATTATAGTGCGTTAATTAATGCACTATAGTTTTTTTTTCTATATTGAAAATAAAAATATAGAAGTTTAACATAAATGTTTTATTAACACATCATCTATGTTCCTTCTGGAGAATTACCAATTATTAATAAGGGGCCATCCATAAATTACGTCACACGAATTTTATGTTTTTATTTTTCCCCCGTCCTTGTCACAGGTTGTCACAGTTTTAGAACACCCTCCCCCCTGATGTGAAGTCACACATTTTTCAAATTTATGCATGTATTAAAATCATCAAAAGAAAACAGTTATTTTCATTTCTTTTCTTATTTTTATTAAATGTGAGTGATAAATTATTAATAAATATACCGGGTGCGTCTCAAAAGTGGCTCACCGGTATAACTCTTTTATTTTTTCAGATAAAAAAACGATATTTGGTATGTTAGTATATGAGATAAATTGTGAGTGACTGACGTATTCAATTGTTTTCGGTCACTTCCGGTTTCACCGGAAATGACTACAACTTTTGATTTTTAAATGGCACCCTCGGTATATTTTTACTCTATTCGATAGGAAATGACACTCTGAATCGAATGACACATCATATGTCAACTTTTGACATTTTGGCATATGGCTTATTTGAAATTGTAACATGCGGTTCATAACGACAATTTGACTCAAAATATCAGGTGTGTGGTATGAAATTATTCGCAAAAAAATGCTTTTTCCAAATATGCTAATGAGCGACCCTCGTTCCATTTGAAAAAATTGAGATATGATTAAAAATTCGATTTGGGCATCTTTTAACCGGCCAGGACAAAACACTAAAAACATTAGACGATCAAATCTCTTTTTCCAAGGCTCCTTGATTAAAAATTAGTGTTCTTAACCGTCTTTTTCCAAGGCTCCTTGATTAAAAATTAGTGTTCTTAACACAGTCATGGCCCTCTAGATTAAAATTTAAAATAGAATTTGTTTTTGAATGACTATGTCAAAAATTGATATATGATATGTCATTCGATTCAGAGTGTCTTTTCTATCGAATAAAGTAAAAAAATACCGATGGTGCCATTTAAAAATCAAAAGTTGTAGTCATTTCCGATAAAACCGGAAGTGACCGAAAACAATTCAAATATAATTATGTGACAAAAATTAGCTAAAATGAAATCAAATACTCAAAATGCTTCCTTTCCTGTTAACTGCATAAAATGATTGTCTTTCCAAGAGGATCTTTTCATTTTAAAAAGCGTATGTGTAGTTCTACCTCGAAAAGCAGCTACAATAATTTCTCTCATGTTGTCGACAATAGTTGGTCGAGTTTTGTAAACACTGTCTTTAACATATCCCCATAAAAAACAGACTAGATAAAATCAGGAGCATTTAAGTATTCTATTAATTGGTGAATGCACACTGCATTCGCCAACTAATGGAATCATATCATTTCTCTCTGATGTAGGATAAGTTTGCATTTTCGGCAAATTTCTGAGCATTTTTTTGTTTTAACTGACATAAAATGATAACTAGTTGTTAAAGTTGGACTAATTAGACAGCTATGTTGAAGCAACGTCAGACATATCACAGCCATCTAGATTTTATCAAATAATAAGGATTTACTCAGATCAAATCATGTAAATGAAAATATCTAGGAAAATATTTGTTTGAGGGGTAGGCAACCTTAATAGTATTTTGAAGAGACATGAATTCTCCATTGAATATCGGAATAATATACTGAGTGTTCCATTTAAAATAAAAGAGTAACATGCTTTTAAAGGTGGCCACTTTTTGGATTAAGTTTTAATTTGATTTAAAGTACAATGGTTAATTTAACTACATATTAGGCTATACCGGGTAAATTCCAATTTAGGTAGCTTTTATTGTAATTTTAAAATTGTTCTTTATTTCTAGAAAATGTTAAATATGTCAAAAACCTTACATTTTAGTTATATACTTCTCTTATAAAACTCGCCTTTATTTTTCTCCCAGAATCCAAAAATCAATTAATATATAGGGTGTTCCATTACAAAAAACACAACTTTGATATGTAACTTTTTTTGGGGACACCCTGTAGAACTCTCTATATTTTTAAAAAGTCCTCTGAATTAACCTACATATGCTCACAAAATTTCATTTCAATGCAAACTGTCGTTCTCCTTAGAGCCTCCGCGGCGTATGAAGGGCGCCACCCTGTATAAATGTCGTGCTTTACAATTTTAAATTTTAACATGTTACGTCACAAAACTTTTGACATTCCCTGCCCCTTGTCATACTACATCACATTACGGTGATGCCCTCCCCCCCCTTAACCTGTGACGTAATTCATGGGTGGCCACTAATTTACTATTTCTACTTAAATTACTTTCTATCAACTTACCAATTCATGTGGTATCCTAGCTCTGAAGTGTTTAATAGGTACGTCTAATGCCGCAACACCTATAAGGTCATACTAAAAAAAACAAACAAATCATATATAAAATTACAATAATGGTGAGCTTATCAACAAATATTTTATAAATATGTCATATCAAGTAAAAAATATGTTCGTTAGATTGGAAATGAAGATCGCAGTCATTTTATATGTATAATTATATTGCAAATGTCACAGATCGTCATTTCTAAAGCATATTGACGCCCTTTATTTTTATAGATATACAGAGTGAGTCATAAATAAGTGCAAATACTTTCAGGGCTGGTAGGTATCGATAAAACAAACATATTTTCTCTTTATCGTTTTTCAAATATGTCCAAAATATCCGAGTTATTTTACTTTGAAAATTTCCAAAAAAGATGATTTTTGGCTCAAATTTTGAGAACCACTGGATATTTTCTGTTTTTTTTTTTCTGAAAATTTAATCTACTACTAAATTTTCAAAAAAATAATTTTGCAAAAACGACACATAATCATGGGTAACCTAATCATGTTTCCGGGGTCGAAATATAAAGCCTCTAAAAATATTTGCACTTTTTTAAGACTCACCCTGTATAGGAAGAAACCAAAAAGCGAGGTGAAATATTTATCCCCTGAAAGCTAAAGCATTTTTTTGTTTGTTAGTCACAAAAGAGATACCTGGTAGATTTAACATTTTGTGGCAATGGCTACGTATAGTCTGTGAAACGAATAACTTTGAATTTGACAGTTCCCGCGGGCTTTTCTAGTGTTAATTTTATTAGGTTAGCAACTTGCGGCCATACTGACGCAAAGCCGTCTCTAGTAGAACAGCCTCGGAGCGAGATTTATGACGTCACGCTAGTTAGATATTACGGATTAGTAAATATATTGAAAAAAATAGTGTCGAATATAATCCAAAAAATTACATATAAAATATTCACAACCTAACCTAACACCACATAATGTTTACTGCAATTAATAAACTAATATAAACTTGTCAAAAGATGACCACATATTTTTTAAAATTATTATTCTTAACACTAAAACTATCTACATTGACTATGGCTGAAATCGTACTCCATAGTCAATGCAGATAGTTTTAGTGTTAAAATAATAATTTAAAAAAACGTGGTCATCTTTGACAAGTTTTATATTAGTTTATATAAACTGCAATAAACAATGATGTGGTGTGGTGTGAATATTTTATATGTAATTTTTACATATAATGATTATATTCGACACTATTTTTTTCATACGATACAACACTGATGAAGGCTATAATGTTAGCCGAAACGTTTTTTTTAAACCAAATAAAAATAATGAAAAACCAATTGAAAACTTAATCAGCGTTTTTTCCGAACCTAAATCCCAAGAAAATCAAAAATTTTAGAATAATTTTACATAATAAAATGACAGCGATCTTTATTTCATAGCCATCGCTGACGCCTTTTTTTCTATGATATTGTATTATCTGCAAATATAATTTTTCGAACATTGATACTTGCAAAATATACATATAAATTTTGTGAATGCAAATAATAATACATCACTATTAGTAGATATTGAATGTTTTTTGCTAAATTAGATCGATTTTCAAACCCCAAAATTTAAAATATATTTTACATTTTACCCATTATCTTATGTACCTATTCATTATTTGTATATTGCAAAACATTTGCTGCATTTGTATGATTCATAGTTTATCTGGCAAAGTATTTATTACTATAAATAGGTATATATATATATATATATATATATATATATATATATATATATATATATATATATATATATATATATATATATTATTATGTTTTCCATGTATTCTACAACATATTTATTAATCCGTAGTATCTAACTAGCGTGACGTCATAAATGTCGCTCCCAGGCTGTTCTATTAGAGACGGCATTGGTCTGATATTCAGAAATGTCAAAAGCTGATGACATTTTACTTTTGACAATTATAACATTTCGTGTTGATTTTTGCAAAAAGAGGAAGAACTGTCACTTGTTTTATTATTTTCCTTTTCTATTTCACGAAAGTAAAAAGAGTTACCTATCTGATTCGTTCAGGCACTCAATTTAAAGAATATCAGTAAATTTTTTGACAGAGGGATTTTAGGTATATTTGACATGCTGGTAAAAAATAACGGTCAAAATTCAAAGTTATTCATTTTATAGACTATAACACCTTATATCGTATGATAGAAAAAAGACGGCGGCCGCGGCGGCGTCAGCGATGGCTATGAAACGAAGATCGCTGTCATTTTATATATAAAATTTTATGGTCATTTTATGTGTAAAATTATATGTCATCGATGTTCATTTCCAAGCCAACTGGACGCCGTTTTTTTTTCGATCATACGGTACTATCCCTACTAATCTTATATATAAAAGGTAGATTACCTATAGTATATATTTTGTATTTACCTCATCGTCTTTTCTACCATATACGGGTAGAGATACTGTTGTCATATATTTGTAATCCTTTTTTTCTTCATATTTTTCAAATTCCTAAGAAAAATAATACAAACAATTTTTAAACTAACAAACAATTTTTAAACTAAACAATTTTTAAACTAACTATGTACTTGCATTTAAAGTTAGGTAAATTTTTACAATATGTATTCAACGTATCTATAGAATATGTATAGAATTGCAAATGTAACAGTAACTTGCACATGTAACTTGCATAAAATCATAGATAAAGGAAACAAGTTTAGATTGGAATGCTCGGCTTGCCGCCAAAACTTATAATTGTTTTGGAGGGCATACGTTGTAGGGCGCTGCTATAGCGGTTGCTAAGAACAACCGCAAACAAGAACAGACATAATTTTCTCTTGTCAAAGTCTTCAAAAGAATCTTCAAAAATAATAAAATCTTTCAAAATTTAAACCGCCCTCATTGAAAAAATACCGAAAAGTTTTTAAAGCGTCCAATTTTCAAAGTAATTATTGCTATCTTGGGAGTATAGTTTAAATTTTATTTACTCAAACCCGTGATAATTGTGAAAAAGTGGTATTACAAACTTAAAAAGCGGTGAAACTGTAAACTGTAAAAACCATCGTGGATCGTGGCATAACATCGGTTTCCAATGTTTTATAGGTATTTCATACATGTCCTTATATAAGATAAAGTTTGTATATATGCAACACACTGTATTTTATTTAAAAAATTAAGAGAAAATAATAATAAATTTGAATAAATAATATTTGGCGACATAATTCCGGAAAAAGCCGAACCGCTCCGAAATTATCAAAAGCTTTGGGTCGCGACCGTTGTATGAATAGCGCCAAATAGTTTTTACATTGTCCATATGGGCACTTTCAAATCTGAACTTGTTTCTTTTATCTATGCATAACATGTAAAAAACAGAGTAACTTACATGGGATTCCTGTAGTAGCATGTGACTTTGGCTGTCATATTTCAGTTGAAGACGGTCCACTCTCCTTTTCGAATGGTCTAAAAACACTTCTCTTTGTCTAATCCCTTCGAATTTTGTCCACAGCCAATTTGATAATCTTCTGTCGGCTAGGTCGACGTACAAATAGCTCCAAATAGGTACTTGCTTCTCCAGAACCTTAAAATTTATGGGTCTGGACATGACGAAAAGATACTGCAGAATTTTCTCTCTGATATCTGATTTTAGTGTCATGTTTACATAGTAACCTAAAATATTTGAATTAATAATTATTGTTAGTGATTTTGGGAGAAATAAATTGCTAGGTTTTTGCAAAAGCTTATTAACCCCCCACACCGAAAACTAAATACTCCAAACCAATGGGCACCTACCCCAGTATCCTTCAGGCAGAAATTTACGCTGTCGAAAGATGCGTACAATTTATCTTAGATAGGAACTATCAAAAACAGGTAATTGCCATACTATCCGATATTCAAGCAGCACTAAACGCGATCAACTCAGTAACCATCAATTCGAAGTTGGTCAAAGAATGCCTAGAGAAGCTCAACAAATTAGGCAAAGAATAAATAAATAAAGCCCTCCTACTCTGGGTGCCTGCTCACCAAGGGATAGAAGGCAATAAAAAAGCAAATGATCTAGCTAGAAAAGGAACGAACACTCCCACTAACTGGACCAGAACCGTTCTGTTTTCCAAACGGGAATCAAATGAAAGCGGAACTGAAGAATCTGGAAGACTCCATCCGTATCTTGGAATGGGTGTCCTCCAATGGCCTAAGACACTCGAAAAAGTCGCTCAGAACTTACGGCCGAGAGAAATCAAAGGTTTTCCTCGAGTTAAGTAAAAACAATCTTCGGATTGTCACGGGGTTTCTAACAGGACACTGTCTCCTCAACGAACAACTCAGTAGGCTGAAGCTGAGAAACAGAAGCTGAGAAACGGTGAATGCAGATTCTGTGGGGAAAATGGGGAAACACCAGAACACCTTATCACTGAGTGCACCGAGACGACAACCATTCGTGCCATGAACTTTGCTACGGCTGATGTTGAGGATGGAGAGCTGGCCTCTGTGGAGCCGTCTCAGATACTGGCTTTTGTTAAAGCCCTGAGACTGTATGATGAGTTATAACTCGTTAGAAAGGAGACCTTACACAATAGATCTGTAAGGTCGTGGTGATTAACTCCCCTCCTAAACATTCTACATTCAACCCTCCACACACCAGAAGATCCAGCCTGCAGATCCCGCCTGCAGACGTACCAAAACTCTAGTATTTTGGTCTGCGGACTTGGCTTGTCAATTAGATCTTTACCCGATTGAAGCTTGATTTTCATGCATCCGTTGTCCGACGATACACGATATTAATTTTATTGGTTGAATTTAAAGACTTCGATTGATTAGAAAATTACGCAGTTTTTAAATTTATTGCATTTTCAAGGTTCTTCAATAATTTTGGTGATTAAAAAAAAACAAATATTTAATACTATCAGAATATAAACGAAAATAAAATAAAAAAGTCTTTGCCCTGACCCGGATTCGAACTTTGAATCATCGGTTCGTGGTCGGAAACGCACTGCGCTATGGAGACATGTTCAATACTAGAATTTAAAGGACTAATAAAAATATAGGATCTTCTTTCAATGCGCAGTAGGGAACGCAAAGTTTACCGGCAGCCAGACAGGCCGCTTGCTGTTCTAGGGAGCATAGTAAAAGATATATCAAAGAGCCAGACGCCTTAAAATACTTGCTTTTCCGACGTTGCTAGCTCTCGTACTATAAGAGGTAGCAAGGTTTTCAAGAGAGAATTTTAAGAAAACTTTTTGGTTTTTTAATATATCTTTTGCTATGATCTTTTGAACAGAGTGTGGTCCGTCTGGCTGCCTGTAGACGTTGCGTTCACTGCTGCTCATCCCCATATCTGTAATCTGTTCAGTACTGCGCATCACAAATTCGCCCTGTATGTCGGGAACTAAGGAGACTAGGACAAACTTATGTGTAGCATATTTAGTTTTATAAAAAAGTACCAAAGTAATGTGAAAATTGCATCATTGTATCTCTACTCATAAACGAGAAAACCCATTAAAAGGCACGAAAATTGGATACCCTATAGATATGTAATGCGCAGTAGTGAACCGCAGTAGTCTACCGGCATCGGCAGGCAGACAGCCCGCACTTTGTTCAGGAGAACAGGAGAGCATAGCAAAAGATATATTATAGAACCAGCTTTCTTAAAATTTTTAGCTCTTGTTCTATTATATTAATTTTTATTAAGGTTAGATTAAATTTGTCAAAAAAGTGTCAAAACGTTCGTTATGGTATGAACTTTTCCCGTTGCAGGCTGAAGTAAAAAAATTACGGATGAAAAGTGGCGCTTTATAAAAAACTTAAAGCTTGTTTTTCATGCGTCCGTTATCCGTTGATACGATGGTCCGACGACGGTGCAGGCGCTCTGATTGGTCATAGCGTTTCCGCGCCACTTTTCATCCGTAAATATTTACTCCAGCCCGTCAACGGAAAAAGATCCTACGATAACGGACGTTTTGACACTTTTTTGGCAAATTTAATCCTACAACCTTGTTAGTTCTTAAACTATAAGTAAAGCCGTATTCTAAGCAGTGAATCGAATCTCACGGTTCATTTTAACTGTTCAAAACGACTCGTTTAATCTTGGTATTACTTGATACTTTTGACCAAATATGTAAGACTGAAAGGTAAAATGATATGTGTAGAAGGTAATGGCCTAAGGGGAGGGGGAGATACTTTTAAGAGGCAATAAAATAAAAACATATGTTACAATGGTTCTTTATACGTACCCATATTCGAGCAAGCAATAAATTCCATTTCTTTCTCGTCATCTTTGTCAGTACTAACGAGGTATGTAAATATTCTGACAGGAAAATTCTTTTGCCAATTCGATTCATTAAAAATAGATATATCGTAGTCGTAATCAACACCTTCACTAATAAGCATTATGGCCTGATTACAATTCGATCCTAAAATATTATAAAATTACATTAGAAATACCATAAGATCGAAAAAAGAACGGCGTCACAGTTGGCTTGGGAGTAAATACATGTCGAATGTTATTGATTGTCATTTCCATGTCACCCTGACGTAATTTTTTCCATCATATTTGTTCATATTGTACTTATACGATAAAAAAAGGAAATAAAGACAACTGTTACTTTATACAGGGTGGTCCGAATTGTATTTCGGAAACTTCAGCAGCATATTCTGCAGATTAAAATAAGTAAAAAAGTTCGTATAAATGTATGTTCTAAAATGCTTATTATCGGAGATACAGGGTGTAGAAGTTTCATTTTTATTTCGATTTTTTTCAAATAATTTCTGAAGTAACGTGAATATTTGGATGAAAATTGGTGTCTGTTAGTTTTTTGACATGAGAAATTTGATTTTCATGTCAATATGACTCCTACTTGTAGAGAGCGCCACCTACATATTTTTTAACTAGTTTGAAGAGTAATAACTTTTCGTCCATATCTGTATAAAACTACTGAGTAAAAAAATTTACATTTACGACTTTTTCTACATAAAAAAGGTCTCTTGGTAAAAATCGCTACGAGTAATGGTTCCCGAGATATTTGGATCGAAATTATCAATACCTGCCATCATTGACATAAATTAAACATGCGTTGACTGAAATCATAAATTTAAAATCTTTTTGTGGCAAAATTTCAATAGAAACTGTTAGTTAATCATCAGTTTTTCGCAGAAAAATTTATGATTAATTTAAAAAAAATAAAATTTTATTATTTCAGTCAAATAATTATACTCAACGTATGCTTTTTTGTCAATAATGACATGTATTGACTGTTTCCATTCTAAATATCTTGAGAAGGGTTGCTAATAGCGATTTTTACCCATAGACATTTTTTACCTAAAATGGAAATGTATATTTTTTCAGACATTAGTTTTATACAGGTACGGACGAAAAGTTATTACTCTTCAAAACAGTTAAAACACATGTAGGTGGCGCCCCCTACAAATAGGAGTCACTTTGACATCAAAATCAAATTTCTCGTGTCACAAAACTCCCAGACACCAATTTTCATTGAAATCCTAACGTTACTTTAGAAATTATTTAGAAAAAATCGAAATAAAAATGAAATTTCTACACCCTGTATCTCCGAAACTAAGCATTTTAGGACATATATTTATACGAACTTTTTTACCTATTTTTACTTGGAGAATATGCTGCCAAAGTTTCCGGAATACAGTTCGGACCATCCTGTATATTGTTAAGTGTTTCGTGGGTTCCGTGTGAATAAAAAGTCTAATTTATTTAAACACAATTTATTTTACACTAAGTAACAAAACAATAACGATAAAATATTTAAAGAACTATTTACCAACTTATTTATAACTATTTATCTAAAAGGAATTTATTTTGAATTTAGCGCAGCAATTGTATGCGTCGACCGAATCTGTTTGTTTTCCGTCCCTTCTTTGCACAAGCCTTGGTTTATATATGAAAGAAACAGGCAGTCTAGATTTTACTCGTATTTTCTTAGCCGCCGTTCTCTGTCTTTCTGGCGTTTTCCATTGGTTCTCGAATGGGGGCGGGGCATTTTAGTCCGAGAATTGAGTCCGCAACATTATAAAATTAAATAGAAAATGTCATCGCTTGTCATTTCCAAGCCAACTTGACGCCGTTTTAAACGGTATGTATATAAGGTGAATCACAGTACTCATAAAAAATTCCCTCAATTCTTTTAATAATTTAAATTGAGGTTTAAACCTTACCTCGTTTAGTTTCTCGAAAATCGCGTAATATTTCGAAAGCCTTCTCTAATCCTAAAGTTATATTAGCAACAAATTCTATCTCATATACAGGTAGATTCTCTCTGAGTAATCTTAGGTTCTCTTCATTGGCCTGCAAATAAATTTATTATACAGGGTGGCGCACCTCATTCGCCTCGGTTGATTATACGAAAACGGAAAGACGTAGAAACAAATTTTTTTATGAATATATCTCGGAATATATGTAGAGAAGCCATATGCATAATTTCAAATTATTTTCAAATGTACAGGGTATGTCAGAAATAAGATCGATACGAAGTTATATTTTTTCTTATGGAACAACTTGTATTTTATTTAATTTTTGGATTCTTGGGCATGAAATAAGGCATTTATTATAAAGGTTTAATATCTCTAAATGCTTTGGTTTTTGAGATATTTAATTATGGATGCTATAATAAAAAAGCTTGTCAACACCCTGTACATTACTTTTCAGAGTTAATTCTTATGCTGACTTTAAAGCCAGAGAAATAAACTTTACTAAATAAATTTATTGTTTCCTTAAATGTATACAAAAAAAAAGTTATTTCAAATACAATACTATGTAATTTTTTAAATAAATCGAAGCAGATTTAAATGCTCTTTCAAACTATATTAGGGTTTCCTATACCTATCTGGCTGAAATTTTAAATAAAAAGCCATTTTTCAATAAAATGGCAATCCGGATGGCTGATGTCGCCATGGCAATTAGTAGCTATTTTCAAAATCGACATTAGTTTTTGGACTTTATTTAAATTTATAATAGTTTACTTTTATTTAATTTGTAACTACAATAGTTAGTATTTATTATTTTATCAAGAAAAAATAAAAAAGTAGTTTTTTGATTTATATTACGATGACTTGTAGATATATTGTTGTTTCGTACCAGCCGACCAACTTTTAACATTGAAATGTTAAGTCGGATTTTGAGATACTTCTATTTCTCTAAATATATTATATAATTACTTTATTACCTGAAAAAGAGTATCATTGAAACAGTCCACTAAAGGCAACGTTGAATTGTTGAAAGTAAAAATATTGACAAAGTCATTGTCGTTTAAAGTGTCCAAAATATCGTTGACGATTTGTAAGGACAAAGCTCTCTTCTTTCCTTTCATCGAACCTGATCGATCAAGTAAAATTATAATGTCTTTTGGTGACGTCATGGCTTCGGTAAACCATGATCTGGTACGAAAATCGTAGGTCTGATGGTAACGTTCTTGGGACCATTTAATTGCTAAAAATAATAATGTTATCAGTCTAATAAAACTTCTCAAGCTTCATTCGGAACCTCAAAATAGTGGAATATAGTAGTGGTTTCAATTATACTTTATAGTACTTTTTACTTTACGATAGCAACAATTTGCAGTAGGTAGTCAGTTATTGTATCCATAGAGAGAGCCTAATAATTAGCTTAGAAAACAATAAACTTATAATATCTAGGCACAAATTCTCTTGATGGATGACAATCAAAGGAAAAAATTACATTACTCGCAAAAAAAGGCAGGAGGGTTTCGGTCATAGACCCGTTCTTGTACCATGATAGACAGGAGAGACCTCTACTGGTTGTTGCATATGGTGCCGAAACATTTCCGGATGCCAGTGGCGTAACATGAAAATATATTAATTACCTACTAATATTTTGTAAAAAATAAACACTAATACACATTTTTTGAACAAAACAAAATAATATTAACTAAACAAAACTAGAAAAAGTAGTTTTTTATATTATTTTTTTATTTATTATATTTTCTATATTTATATTTATCAATCACAAGCAAATAAAAATTAATATTTAGTTAACAGTCATAATTTAGTCAAAATTCAAGATTATCTGGGGGGCGCCCATCACAACGAGAGTAGGCCCTGTATCTCCGGGCGCCCCTGTTGTTACGCCTATGCATGTCCAACGTGAATCAACGACTGTCATCACTGTCATCAGAGGTTTTCCAATATGGCGACTTCCGTCCCCGTTTCTTCTGTAGGTGAAATATAGAAAGCCTCCTTCCTTTTTATTCTTTATTCATTGTTTAAGTACTACATAATTTCATATATAGCAAGCGTGAAAAGTGCTTCTCGATTAGTTGATTTATTTCATACTAACCAATAAAAGTAGTTTTCTAAGTTTCTATCTACCACGTAAATCAATTTAGTGTCTGACTATTCGCGCTTTTACTTATAAATTTAAATTTAATCTCTAACATATTTAAACGATATGCAAAATATGCGATATAATGAATATCTAAAATAACAGGTTGAAATAATGCCATTACCAATAAAAAAATAATATAGTATACGGTATTACTATTTAGAGTTTAAAATAGTGCGCGATGTGACAGCGTTCAGCGATGAAGTAGACGAATCAGATCGTTTCATCTGGCGCGTGCGCACGAAAATCCTGTTGAACGAAAAGGATGGACTTATGCAAGATTGATATTTCTTTTTCTTTTCTTGTTCTTGTGTAAATGCGGTACTATAGTAAACGCCACGAATGTTTGGGAGTGATTCATCGGTCGCTACCATGTGAACTAATCTGTTCAAGGTCACATAAAACTTAATTCCAGTGTCATGGTGTTTCAAGTCATAATAATCAATATTTAATCTGTTGTTTATGTTTTTGTGCATGAAATTATAAATTTATTATTATTGATGAATATTACAAAAATATTTATTGGTAACAAATTACTTAAAACAGGATTCCAGCAAACTATCAGTCTTGTCAAAACATATATTTGGTTATAAATATAAACTGGAATGCCCCATTGGTCGCACTGCAAGCACACCAATGGACTGACGCACAAAAACGAATCAATCAAAGAAACGCGATATAGGATCGTCTTTGTCATTCACGCTAATATTTAAGAAAAAGTAGGAGGAGCGCAGGCAGATGATTAGACCGGGCCTTTAAAAACCTACGTCGGCGGAAAAAATTCACGTTTTTAATGTAAAAATGATAGCTAGTGTGTCGATTCTAAAAAATAAAATTAATTTTTTTTTGTCCGATTAAATGTATGTCCGATTAAATGTATATCTCCGAAACTAAAGTTCCAAAAAAATTCGTAATATATCTAGAAATTCATTTACCCACTAGTAGTTATAAAAAGCATTTTTGGTAAACTCTGTCTCTAATAGTTTCTGAAAAATAAAATTAATTTTCTTAAAAATGTCCAATTAAATGTATATCTCCGAAACTAAAGTTCCAATAACTTCATCAAGCGATGAATCACTCCCAAACATTCGTGGCGTGTACTATAGCCAATATATTCTTACAATATATTTGAACTGAAATAAAGGACAAAAAATGGATTTATTAGCGGAAAATGTATTATTTAAAAAAATTGTTTTTTATTGCAATCTTGAAAATAATTTAGCCCAATTCTCATACATTTTCTACCATACTGTACAGTACGTCTGCTGGATCTGTGTCTATGAAAGGAATGCGGACAAAAAACATTTAAATAAACAGCAATCTATTTTATACGTCGACTTGACGAGTACGTACCACCGCAAATCGCTCCGCCCACTCATTTTATTGGCTACTTGCAAATTTGTCGAATTTTTATTGATGGGACTTGTCGTCTGTTTTTTTTACGAAAAACATCGAGAGAATATCGTTTCCCCTCTCACGGATACCCCGTAGCTACAGAACGGACAGACGTACTGTACAGTACCACTCAAAATATTTCTTACAGATATACCATGATGCAGCTATAATATGGACTTGTCCGTATTTTTACAAGCCTGTAATATCATTTGGGTTAAATTATATATTTCAAAATAAATTATTATTAAGGCAGTAAAATAAAACAAAATATGAGAGGCGCTTTAACAACAATAATTGTATGAATTTTACCTGGATAATGTCTCATAAATCCTAAAGGACTTGCGAAATATTGCCATACCAGTTCTGGATCCTTGAGGAAGTTTTGTTTAAAAACCAAATCTAATGGCTCCGACCATCGAATACCTTCCAAAACAGTCTTATCTGTGAAATTGCAAAAAATGTTCCTTAAAAATCTACTATACAGGGTGGTCCGAACTGTATTCCGGAAACTTTGGCAGCATATTCTGCAAATAAAAATAAGTAAAAAAGTTCGTATAAATGTATGGCTTAAATTGCTTAGTTTCGGAGATGCAGGATGTAGAAGTTTCATTTTTATTTGGATTTTTTCTAAATAATTTCTGAAGTAACGTCAATATTTGGATGAAAATTGGTATCTGGGAGTTTTTTGACATGAGAAATTTGATTTTGATGTCAACATGACTCCTACTTGTAGAGGGCGCCACCTACATATTTTTTAACTTTTTTAAGAGTAATAACTTTTCGTCCGTACCTGTATAAAATTATCGAGTATAAAAATATACACTTACGATGTTTTTTATGTAAAAAAAGTCTCTTGGTAAAAATCGCTACAAGCAACCGTTCTCGAGATATTTAAAATGAAAATAGTCAATACATGTCATTATTGACAAAAACTAAACATATGTGAGTAGATAGTTATTTGACTGAAATGATAAATTTGAGAACTTTTTATTTTTTTAATTAATAATAGATTTTTCATCGAAAAAAATGATGATAAAACAGTTTCTGTTGAATTTTTGGCACAAAAACATTTCAAATTTATGATTTCTGTCTAATAACTATTTAGTCAACATGTTTAATTTGTCAAAGATGACAGGTATTGATAATTTAGATTCCAAATTTCTCGAGAACCATTACTCTTAGCGATTTTTACCAGGAGACCGTTTTTACGTAAAAAACGTCGTAAATGGATATTTTTTACTCAGTAGTTTTATACAGGTACGGACGAAAAGTTATTAGCCTTCAAACTGCTTAAAAATATTTAGGTAGTGCCCTCTACAAGTAGGAGTCATATTAACATCAAAATAAAATTTCTCATGTCAAAAAACTCCGAGATACCAATTTTCACCCAAATATTGACGTTACTTCAGAAATTAATTAGAAAAAATGAAAATAAAAATAAAACTTCTACACCCTGTAAATCCGAAACTAAACATTTTAGGACATACATTTATATGAACTTTTTTACTTATTTTTACCTGCAAAATATGCTGCCGAAGTTTCCGGAATACAGTTCGGACCACCCTGTATAATATTATATTTGATACTAATTAAACTTTTAGTTACGTAATCGAGGGCGCGATTTTTAAATTCATTGTTGCCAACTATGGACATATTCAGCACCGGGCTGACTAAGTGGAATTTAAATTTCCCGCTGGGGATTCAGGTGGTAGCTCTGCTGTAAAAAATGTCAAGTTGCCACATTTATTTATTTATTTCCTGGCAGTGTCATTCGTTTTGACACTTTAGTTATGTATTACGAACTTTTGGAATTGTATTGTGACATTTTAAGCTTAAAAATCTTTACTAGCAGACCTTGCTGTCGAACATTGTTCTTTTTAGAACCTCTTTTAGTGTGAAGTGTACAAGTTATCTTAATAGCCGTAAAAACTTATCGCAACTTTATTAGAATATTTTGAACATGAGGTAGTAATGGCCCTTTATGTCCCTTAAGTACTATTAAGAAGGTGAGTTTTGTAGATTTAAATAATACCTGTTTATATATTTATAATTAATTTATTTTTGTTTCCTAAAATATTTTGATTAAAAGAAAATATGTAAAAGTGGGCAACGCTGTGCCGGTCCAAGGTTATTAAAAGATAAGGTTGTCTCGTAACTCGATCCGCCATTATTGGAATACGTCATAGGAATGCTACCACTCATAGATAAAGGGATAAAAACTGCCAACAGTCCGACAGTGCATTTCCGAATCGATATTCATTGGCCTGGCCGGCAGTAGCTCCAGAGTTAGTGTGTCGATCTGCGGAGCGGAAGGTACTGGGTTCGATCCCCAGCCCAGCCAGTACGGTCGCTTTATTTATTTAAATAAAAATATTCATTTATCTAAATATAGCGACCAAAGAGCCGCCACCTCAAGGAAGGCAACCACCTTGAGTATATTTGCCTTGTACAGCCTCTAAAATAGTGCCGTTCGGATTCGGCAATAAACTGTAGGTCTCGTGTACTTGTGAAACACTGATGACACACATCACAAGTACATGCGAGAGGTAGCCGATGCTCTATATAGAGTATGGATGGCATTGTAAGAAGAATTCATTGTATACTTTATTGTTTATAATCTATGGCGTCCATAGTTTTCGGTTGTTTGATGTGTGTTTTCTTTATTGTATTGCCAATTTATCTCTCTTTGTCGGTTGCATTTTATTTTTGAATCCTATATCCTATGATTTTATACGTTCTGTAGCATCCCTCTGACGTAGTTGGAGCTATTGATCCAAAAGTTACGAGGCAACCTTTAATATAGAAACCTTGGTGCCGGTCAAGCTTAATCACGTGACTAAAAGTTTATTTGGTGTAAACTGTATAATATATACCTCTCTCGTAAATATTTGTGGCTATCTTAATAACGCTAACGTTCAAATTGACTTTGTCATCAAATCTGACATCTTTGTTCATCGGTAAATTATAGTATGACTCGTTGGAGCGTAATGGTTCCATCAAGTTGTCACAGTCGCAAGAAAACTCTTCGTTCTCGTACGTCGTACGTTTACCGAAAAGGTCTTTCAGTCTTTCTTTGGTGAACATATTGTTACTCAAGTCTTTCAGGTGTTGCTGGTGACACCACCAGTGGCATTCCATCTAAAATCAGAAGTGCTTAACTAAAAATAATATTAAAAATAGTAGATAATTTAAAAACTTAATTTTGCGAAACATACTTTGCGGCAATTTTAAAACTGGCTATCGGAAATAATTATATTGGATAATAATATTATCAGGAAGATCTCAAATATGTATTTGAGGATTGGAGGGGAATCACAAATGAGATACTTTTTGATTCATTCTGCATTCTGCCCAATCCCTTTGACTCACACGTCTTCTCCTTAGTCATTAGTACGAACCTACATTACCTACATATACCGGGTTTGGTTTGGTTAGGCGTCTCCAAAGTGGCTTACCCCTATAACTTTTTTGTTTTTTTCTGATAAAAAAAACGTATGTTGGTATATCACATAAATTAGGACTGATTGACGTATTCACTTGTTTTTGGTTAGGTTAGGTTATGCTAATGAGCCACCCTCGTCCCATTTGAAAAAAATGAGATATGATTTGGGCATCTTTTAACCGGCCAGGACAGGACACTAAAAACATTAGACGATCAAATCTATTTTTCCAAGGCTCCTTGATTAAAAATTATTGTTTTTAACACGGCCATGGCACTCTAGATTGAAATTTAAAATACGATTTTTTTAAAGCAAATAAGTTGACATGTGATATCTCATTCTATTCAGAGTGACATGTTCTATAGAATAAAGTAAAAAATACCGAGGGTGCCATTTAAAAATCAAAAGTTGTAGTCATTTCCGGTGAAACAGGAAGTGACAAAAACAACTGAATACGTCAATCAATCCTAATTTATGTTATATACTAACATACCAAATCTCGTTTTATTATCTGAAAATAGGCGTGAGCCTCTTTTGTATTCATATAAATATAAATATATATAAACCAAGCCATTCAAGTAAGTTTATCTCTTTCCGTCGCCGGAAGCAAAAAATACAAATAATAAAGAAAAAAAAAATTTATAATATTTACAGCGCTTTCAGATGGAGCGGAGCGTCCGCGCGGATCTTTCTTCAAGATAGCTCATCCGGACGGAGCATACGCGATCCATGTGAAATTGTTCATATAAGCTCATGGTACTTGCTCGAAGTCGCGGACGCCCCGCTCCATCTGAAAGCGCTGTTATTCAACTATTCGAGAACACTTTAGTTTTCTTTTAAAACAGATACGTCTGTAAAAACCTATTTTATTTTGCAGATTTTCTTGCAGTGGCGAAATATCCATATAGGATTTTTTGGAGTAATTGTCTATATGCTTACCAATTTTTGTAAGTTAAATAAATAAAAAAAAATCTTATGATGTACTCCATGGTGCCATTATCTACCTTATTTAAAAAGTACTTAAAAATTAGTATGTCATTACGTTGAATACTGTTATTTTTGTTTTAGTTTTGTCCGAAAGAGCTATGGTTTTAACGAAGAGATAACTTATTTTCAAACTGGGTTGGGGTATTATGTAAATTTAGGGGGGGGGGGTTGTGAAATAGCAATAGCAATTGGCAAATAGACCCAAATAAAATTTTATCGTCTACCCAGTCCCACGGGTTATGAGTCGCCACTGATCACAGGTAACATAGTGTATTTGTCTTCCAAGTTCAACAATGACACCAGTTAAGGATCGAATGTTACCATCATGTCTCAAACGTATCGGTCCTTAAAAGCTGCGAGAGAGCTGAAGTTATGAGAAACAAAACCGCCTACCGAAATCTATTCTTTACGGTGAACTTGTAGACAGTAAAGGTGGCTTCCCACGGCCCGTAATCTTACAGGCCAGGCCGCGCCAGCTCGCGCCAACGCACCGTAGGAAGACGGTCGCCTGAGGTGGCGCGAGGAGGCGCGACGAATCCGCTTCGAGTAGGTAAGCTCAAAGGCCCGATCCAGCGCGGTGCGTTCATGCCTGTGCAGACCTGTTGATGTAGACAGACATAATCATTGTTTTTGCTACTCTCGTTACTTTTGGTGGGTTTAATATGGCGTGGACGAACGAAATCACTTAATGTAAAAAAAAACTGTGTGAAATTACTTAAAATATAAAAATCAGGTTAGCCATAATGTCACTAGATTTCCATGGCACACTAAGTGAAAAAAAGAAAGTGAAAGGGGATTACTTTTCCTCGCTCGGCTCTTATTATACGATGATGTCCACCAACGCCTTTTTGTCTTTTCCTTTTGATTCCTAAGTAAATAATACCCGTTAAAAAGTATGACAGCGGCTGCGGCAACAGTTTTTTCTTCATCTGACATTACTGATAATTATCCAAAACTAGTTGTTGATAATCACAAAATGGTAGGTAATCACCAATCCCGAACACTAGTAACCTCAAAAATAGGTAAACAGATGATTGGTTTTCAAAAGGTACTCGGGCACAAACACGCCGTGGGAAGAGTTCCGCCTGCAGTCCGTAATATCTACGCGTCGCCCGTTTTTCCGTCGCGGCGCGGCGCGGCCTGTAAAACTACAGGCCGTGGGAAGCCACCTTAAGAGGAAACCGGGTAGAGGATTGCAAAAAAAAAGGATTGTAAACTTAGTTAACAACGACAACCAAAAAGTAAAAAGGCAACAAAGTAATGAACTTTTTGAATGTCCGGAGTGCGGCAGAGAGATAACATCGCGGCATATAAATCACACGGCAGGCCAACTCGCTTTAGCGGGAACGCTACGCGCATATCCTTGCGCACGCCGCCATTATGGGTGCCAGCAACAGAAATTAACCAGTGTCGTAGTCAGTCGTAGTCTTTGTCATCGACAATATACAGTTACGGCAGCTTTGAGTCAGTAGCGTGCGGCTTAATTTATTTCATTCTTTTCTTGACCGATATATTTTGTTTATTGTGTGATATATTTGGTTTTTGTAGTTTAGTAATACAATGGATGTCCGAAATTCTTTTAGTTTTAATACTCAATCATTGCCTACGGCATTCAAAGTAGGGTAGAGCGGGGCTAGTTGAGCTCTTTTTCACTTGAGCGGCTATAGTTCCTCAACGATTAGTATTATTGGCTTGTTATGCATACTGAGGGATCACGAATTTATCCGTTTGCAAAAGTGTCTATAGTAATTTATTTCTTACAAGTCGAATTTAAGAGCTACAGCTGTTTAAATGCAGAAAGTCAAGTATGCTCAACGTACCCCATAGGTGAGGTAAATTGAGCAAGTGCATGCATGGGACAAATTGAGCACTTACAATTTCTAGCCGAATGATGAGTTGAATGTTAACTAGACATGAAATAAAATTTCTGTTTGATATGATCAACTTTTTATTTATAGTCTTTTAGTGACAACACAACTAAATTAAAAGTAATTTTCTTTGAATAATAAACTGAAAATAGAATCAACAAAACATTAACATTCTGCGCATTAAATGATGTTGCCCTACAAAGGCTGGTGGGTTCTGGCTTCCGAATGGATAGCTCCGGATGTCGTTTTAAAAACATCGTAAGCCATTCTTTTCCAGCCATCTTATTTGCAGTCCAGGATGATGGAATATTAATGTCAAATTTAGCAGCACACTCGTAGGCGAGGCGACGAACGTCTTTTGGGGTATATCCATAGAATATTGCAGCCATTTGTAACAAGTATTTCTTTAAAGAGTCTTCTTGCGTAGGAGAAAATACTTGCCTGGGTGTTGCATAATCCATGGATGTATCACCATGTATCATTTGGAGTTAGTTGAGCAACTATAGCTCAACTAACCCCAATCCGAAATTTTAAAACAAAAGTTAGGTTACGAAAAACCAGTTAGAATTATACCCAAATTATTTATACATAACAAAAGTACTATAAATTTATGGAACTTTAACACTTACCTCTTTAAAATCGGATAACATTTAACTATTACAGATGAAATATTCCGCTTTATAATTATTTTACTTTTTGGTTACAAAATAAACAATGCGCGCGTATACTTTACTCGATCGACTAGTCGCTACTGGCGGTCTCGTGATGAATTCCTCTCCCACAACCCCTTCTTTCCGCTATTTGGTGCATTCACGTGCGGTGAATAGTTTTCGTGATAATTCAATTGCCCAACCTGCCCCTATGCTCAACTAGCCCCGCCCTATCCTAATTTTTATTATTAGGTATCCTGCAAAATGACAAACAAGATTCATTTCTAAATTACTGTTTTTCTGATTATCCGTATCTATTTTTAATTTTTATGGATAGCTCATGACAATTCAGAGAGAAAAGAACAGAGGTCTCGTTGTTTTTTATAATGAGGTCTGCCGTTTTCAATAAGATGTTTGCCAGATCATTTTGGCAATTTTCAGTATCAGTGTGTAATATTCGGACACAAAGCTTTTTAAATGTTCTTCTAAACTGGATGAATTTATTCTGGATGGGAATAATGATAGGTTTACAAGATATTGGAATTACAAGAATTACAAGATAAAGTTGTCGTACCAGATTTTTATGAGTGCAACTGTACACTCAAATCTCGCGACAAGCTTTTATATAGTATAAAATTGTGTAATGACGTTATAAGCTCATAATAAAAGTTTTATAGAAAAAGTTTATTTTTTCTTTTTAATGTATTTAAATAAAAGCTTGTTTTTAAAAAGTTTTTTTTCTTAAATTTATTTTTTACTTTTTAGTTATGCTGGTTTCTCAGTGCCACACACTTAAACTCAATTCTTTTTCTTAAATAACTTCCTATGGGCATCCTAATAATATGTATATCGATTTTCATTAAAAAAGGAGAACTTAAAAAAAAAGACAGCTGTCAAATTTGACAGTTCAAATGTGAGACAAATAAAAGGAAAACCGACTATGGGGTAGGGAGCATCCAATATATCGATTTTTATCAAAATCGGACTACTTTGAGATTTTTTTGACAGCTCAATTTTTTTTCTTTCATTTTAACCCATGGCCATCCTATATATAGATTTTTATCAAAATCGGACAACTTTGAAATTTTTTGACAGATGTCAAAAATTCGGGTCATGCTTTGCAAGAAAATATATTGTCATCGGGACTGAACCTACATGCCAAATTTCAATTTTCTACAATGAAAGGAAGTGCTTCTAATTTAGCTTACAAGATTTACCCCGAACAAACATACATACAAAGCAAGTTAAATAAAAGCTTGTAAAATAAGCTAGGGACTGCTTCCCATTGGTAAAGATACCGTATGATCGAGAAATAACGGCGTCAGCGATGGCTATGGAATGAAGATCGCTGTCATTTTATATGTAAATTTATACTGGACGCCGTTTTTTTTCGATCATACGGTACCTCTTACCATAACAACATTAGACACCCGAGCTGGTTTAAACCTTATGTTTAAACTCTCTGTTTTCCCTCAAAACCTACAATATTATCACGACCACTATTATAAAATAAATTGCACTTGATATTCATATCATCAATACATAGAACACAATATCGATTAAGTTCATCCGGTTCATCGAAACTTTCAACTTTTCTTTTTCAGAGTCTCAAATATACTAAGATTTTCTAAGCCAGCTTTGATATCGATGTCATATATTCATTATCTTAGTGTCTCTGGGCTGGGTCTCTGGACGTGGAAGGCAAAATAGATTTGTCAAGAGCGTCTTGTATATTTTTGGCCCGGAAAAGTATATAGCTAAACATTTATATTTAAATTCATCAGTTACTTTTCTTCCTATTCTATATTAACAAAATTTGCTATGTCCATTGATGGACATAATTTGTACGTAGCCTCTTTAGATTGTTCAATATATATTTTATTGGGTATTTCTTTAATTCTTGTTTGTAACTCCTGACATGTTTTTTTTTATTTTAATTGTCTATTCTCTACAGTTAAATGTTTAATTGATTTTTTATTTTTACTTTTCGAGGAGTATGCGCGGTTAACGATTCATTTGTTTAGATAAAAATATTGTGTAAATAAAATTCAGTTTCAGTCAATTACAGTATTTTTTTTTAATACGACCCTGTCTATCAATAGTTTATTTTCTGGGAAATTTTTTGATACGTTTTAATCCGCCCCTGACTCGGCACCCATAATGGTGTTTTCAAGGTCAAATTTTATAGAAATTTTAAACAATTGGATCTGGGCAGAGTTAAGCTTGATTTTCATGCATCGGTTGTCCGACGATACGTTGATACGATATTAATTTTATTGGTTCAATTGAGACTTCGATTGGTTAGAAACGGTTAACCAATCGAAGCCTTTAAATACAACCAATGAAATTAATATCGTATCAACGTATCGTCGGACAACGGATGCATGAAAAAGCTTTAGCCTGCCGTGTGATTTATATGCCGTGATAACATCACGTATCGGGCTGTTCAGTCACAGAAAAGCTCATGAAAGAAAATGCCTTGCGTAACCATCTTCATGCATGATGCATATCAGATACTCATCAGCGAGTAATGGCAATGAATGAGTGAATGAATGAATAGACTAAAAATATAGCAACATCTATCAAACCAAGATTAAAGAAAATATCAATAAATTAATTTTCGTAATATCTGAAACATACCTATACTCCCTTGCTTCTATAGTACCGTATGATCGAAAAAAAAATCGGTGTCCAGTTCACTTGGAAATGACGATCGATGATTGTGCGATATTGCCTATCACAGTCACACCGACCGGTCGTCCGGTGGTTTTTCTAGTAAATGCACCGAACAGTGCCAAAAAATCGCTGCTACTTGTCACAGTGCTTTTATTGGGTCAGTCGCAGAGCATCGTCAGCTCCACAAAAATCGCAGACTAGCCCACTTCTAATTGAGGGACTCAAGACCCAAACCACAGCTTACCCATAGACAAACAAATAGAAAGAGACAAATCTCATGGTAAAGAGTGGGACCGAGTTCCCGTAGCGCAACGCAGAATAACAATTTTGAAACCAATTAGCAAGACCATGGCAGGACGTACGTCTTTATTGCTATCTTTCTTTATTATGTGTGCTTTATATGAAAAAGAAAGAGATAGGTATAAAACGTATCGTAAGACATTATGGCACATTCTGGTTGGCGAGAAATTTAAATTAGCTATTATTAGTAGTATTCTTTCATTATGAAACTGAAAATTTTCACTTATAATATCACAAGAGCTTAAATTATTTTCGGAAATTTTTTTGAGGGCACGAATATTTTGAAAATTATCCCGAGTCGAAGACGAGGGATAATTTTCCTAAAATATTCGTGCCCGAAAGAAAATTTCCAGGAATAATTTAAGCTTGCGTGGTATTCGGTAAGAAAATTTCACACCTAAATTTGAAAAAAATATTAATCCAACATGACATTTTAAAATAATTTGAATTTGTTAAGTTGGCCAAGGTATTGATGTTTTTGACATATTATGTGTTTGTCATTTTTGTTTGCGATTCTGTCATTAAGCTATTACTAGTTTTAAGACGTCTGTACGTAGAGTAAGTGTATAGCGAAATGTCGCGATTTGGAAAAGTAAACCAACAAGTCATTAAAGAAGAAATTGAAAATATAAAACCAGATAACACCCGAAAATCAAAATCAAGTGTATGGAAACAGTTTGTTGATATCTAACATATTTCCTTAAATAAAAATATTACCAACCTTAGTTACATCAAATGCTAAAACTCAAATGGGTAATATTTCAATATATAGACATTGTAGTTCATTCACATTATGATTGTAGATCTTATGTTTACCTTTTCAACTGTCAAAAATTTCCACTAAAGTTTCGTGGCGCCTCGAAAAATTTCGGAAATTTTTCAGTTATATGGTAACTAGTCAACATTAAAGCATGTTATTGGTTGAAAAGTAGAGGTGTGAAATTTTCACTTAAACTGATTTATTCCCTATACCACGTAAAGGGAACGGGGTGTAGGGAATAAATCAGTTTAAGTGAAAATTTCACACCTCTACTTTTCAACCAATAACATGCTTTAATGTTGACTAGTTACCATGGCAACTGAAAAAATTTCCGGAAATTTCTGAAAATTTACGACGGTTGAAAACAAACATAAGATCTACAATCATAATGTGAATGAACTACAATGTCTATATATTGAAATATTACCCATTTGAGTTTTAGCATTGATGTAACTAAGGTTGGTAATATTTTTATTTAAGGAAATATGTTAGATATCAACAAACTGTTTCCATACACTTGATTTTGATTTTCGGGAGTGTTATCTGGTTTTATATTTTCAATCTCTTCTTTAATGACTTTTACTTTTCCAAATCGCGACATTTCGCTATACACTTCTTACTCTACGTACAGACGTTTTAAAACTAGTAATAGCTTAATGACAGAATCGCAAACAAAATGACAAAACACATAATATGTCAAAACATCAATACCTTGGCCAACTTAACAAATTGAATTTTAAAATGTCATGTTGAATAATATTTTTTCAAATTTAGGTGTGAAAATTTTCTTACCGAATACCACGCAAGCTTAAGTATTCCTGGAAATTTTCTTTCGGGCACGAATATTTTAGAAAATTATCCCTCGTCTCTTCGACTCAAAATATTCGTGCCCTCAAAAAAATTTTCGAAAATAATTTAAGCTCTTGTGATATTATAAGTGAAAATTTGCAGTTTCTTTCAGAACGAAAGAATACTACTATTATAAGGGAAATTATAAAAAAAGCAAAAATTGTACTGTTTTATAAACCATTTTTTTTAAGGGCATTAAAAATCTCATTTTCGAAAAAACTGCCTAATTGCAATAACAAAGTGAGTATCCAAGCAAAGAAGACTTTACGAGAATCATGATCCTGAACCATTTTCAAGTCTAGTTTTAATCCTAAAACAAAAGTAAAATAGGTATATTAATAAAGATTCTGGTTACTATAAACCAGCTATAAACTACCTACCTAAAAAATGAAAAAAAAAATTATTGTATTAATTTGTTATGTTAAGAGAGGTTCGAAATATTTTTGACACTACTACTTCCACTTTTTTCTTAATAAGATGATAAATATAACTACTTACTTTTATTTTACCGGGTGTCTTTAACATATCTATCAGAGAAAGGGGGTACCAATACATATATAGAAAATAGATGATACTGGCTCCTGCAGCAAATAAAATAACAAATAGTATAGCCTAAAATTATAAGTAACAAAATATAAATACCTATATGGAACAAAGAAATTTGTTCCCTATCCATATTCATAAGTCAATAAAATGGAGAGTTTAGAAAAAAGGTAAATCACCAAAAGAAAAATTAACAAACATGACGAATTGTCATGATGTTGTCATCTTGGTTGTCATGATGACGAAAACGAAAGGCGATTGTTCTAATTTCTATTTAGAAATTACGTTTTATATGGATGCTTCTTTTTCTCTTGTTATATTAGAATGAGAAAGTGGGCCCAATAGACGCATTGCGCAGATCAACATAAATAGAATGAAATTTTGCGTTCTGAGTTGCGCTACGGGAACGTTGTCCCTCTCTTTGCCAGTCTCTTTTTATTTGTTTGTCTATGACCACTTTTAATTGAGGGACTCAAGACCCAAACCTGACCCAAACCACAGCTAGTCCATGGTACAAAGAAAACAAGGTATGATCGATAGCGGCCCCGATTTCGTTAAGTTTGCGCATACCACCTGTGACGTCATACGCCATACAAAAAATATCCATATTATTCAATTGCCACTAATAAAAAAAGACCTAAAATAGGAAAGAATTAGGACATAACCCCAAAAGTTATGTCAAATCATCGAGCTTGACATTTGAAAAATTATTTTCACATTTTGACACAATCAAATTTCACAGATGACACAATCTGTTTGACAATTTGAAATTGGCGCGCAGAGCTTGCCGACCAATGGTGCCGTTTATCACCTGTGACGTAGTGACCAACCTGCGCAATATCATACCTTGTATTCTTTGTATCATGACATTAGTCTATGACCACAGCTTACCCCAAACTAACAAAACCTCATTGTGCGATTTATCATTTTGTATAATTTGATATGTATAGATTTTATATTTGAATTAGTTTTACACCGGGACAGCGTATGGCGCGTACGCAGTCCCGACTACCAAAAATTACGCGTCCGATTTATCCACATTAGGGATAATCGCAAGGGTCAGCTCAGCCGTAGTGTAATGGGAGAGCCTCGCCCCGGAGGAACCGCCTTCTTGATCACGGTTGACCTCTACGCCAGGTAATATGTCCTTCGACCCTTCAATCTGAAATATCAATTCGGGGTTTATAATTCGTTCAGGGAGTTGTAGCTTTAACCCCCATCTTACGGAAAGAAATGAAGGACGATAAGGGTTTGTTCAAAGGATTTAATAGGGGGAAATAAATTTAAACCTATATATATATATTACGGGTGGAAACCATTACAATACAAACAAATCATTAGGGTAGGTCTCCTACTGCTGACGCAGTTTTCCCGTTTCCCGTCTCCAAGCTAGTCTATCAAAGACATCATCATCCACTAATTGCCGAGCTTCCATGGATTCTCTTATTCCGTCGTTCCAGGATCGTCGCGGTCTTCCTCGTTTTCTTCGTTGCGGCGGAACCCATTGAAAGACTCGTTTTGGCCATCGATCATCTGGCATTCTCATGAGGTGCCCAAACCATTTCAGCGATCTTCTCTCTATTCTATCAACCACCGTGTCCTGAGCATCCATTCTTCTTCTTATCACTTCGTTGCGCACGCACTCCTTTCTAGATACTCGTGCGCTTCGCTTGAGGTAGTCCTTTTCGGTGGCAAGAAGTCTTCTGCGCAAATCAGAGTTAACCGTCCATACCTCACATCCATAGCACAAGACGGATTCAACCAGGCTCTGTCCAAGTCGTTTTTTCTTGGATATGTGTCTATCCCACCAAACTGAGTTTAAGCATCCGATTACTCGTTTTGCGTTCTGAATCCTTATCTTAACTTCCTGTTGTTCGAGGCCTCTTTTGTTAATATTAACGCCCAAATATTTAAATTGTTCTACCTGGCTAAGCTGCACTTCATCATTCAGCAGAAGTTCAAAATTGGTTTCGGAGTGAACCACACACCAGAAATTCGGTTTTCTTAAAGCTGATTTTTAATCCCCATCTTTCATATTCTTCATGTAGCCTGTTTAACATAAACTCTAGGTCGTAAGAATCTTGAGCGATCACCACTTGGTCATCAGCAAAGCTGAGCGAATATAAAATATGTTCTCCCACTGGTATACCCATTCCACCACATTTTCGTTTCCACTCTTTCAGTGCAACTTCTATGTATATATTAAAGAGCAATGGAGATATATTGCAACCTTGCCTTAAACCTTTAGTTGTTATTATAGGTTCGGATAGATGTTTTCCAACTTTAATATACGAGTGGTTGTCTCTATAGAGTTCATTTATAATTTCTATTAGGTTTCTATCAGTTCCGATTATTTCTAGAGCTTCCCAAAGTTTCGAGCGTGGTACATTATCGTATGCCTTCTCTAGATCTATAAAGGCTAGGTGGACTTCTCTATCTACGGCAATTTGTTTTTCCAGTAGTTGTTGTAAAGTGAACAGGTTATCGACACAAGACCTTCCTGGCCTAAATCCGCTCTGGCGTTCTCCGATTTTGTGACCTACATTAGCCCGAAGTTTATTTTGTATTATTTTACCCTATAGGCGACTCAACGAGCTATAGATGCTAATATACCTCTATAGCAGTTTGGATCTTTTCTGTTGCCTTTTTTGAAAATGGATACAATATGTGAGACTTTCCATTCCGTAGGAATTTTGATTTGGTAGCAAACCATATTCATCAGATTAGTGATTCGGTCTAGTAAGTGGTTTCCTCCATATTTAAGTAGCTCTGTCGCAATATTGCCTGGTCCAGGCGATCTTCTATTTTTCATAGTGCTTATGGCTTTTTTTACTTCTGCAATCTCGATTGTTAACCGATTGGCGTGAGTAATAGTAGGCGTTTCTTGGCTAGTAAATTCTGGTCTTCCCTCTACAAATAATGTCTTATAGTGTGTGTGCCAATTGTCTAGACTAATCCATTTATTGAATAGTTCAGTATTTGGTGTTTTTAGCTTTTTTATTACTCTCCTTGCTTCACTGCTTTGTGCTCCTCCTACCGTGTTTTCAATTTCAATGCATTTATTTTCCCAAGATATGTTCTTTTCCTCTGTTATAGCTGATCGTAGTTGATGGTTTTTTAATTTGTACTGTGCTCTGTTTTGAGCATTTTTTGAGTCAGCCATTTCTGGTAGGATTTATTTTTCTCCTTTATAAGGTTTTTAATTTCATCTGTCATCCAATAAGGTTCGCTACGTTTTTTGCTGGTTATTACTTCACCTAGGGCTTCGTTGGCAGCTTGGTGTATTGCACACTTAATGGTTTCGTATTCTGTTTCGACGTCTGGATTGGTCTCGAGACATTGAAGAATGTTCTTTAATTTGGATTGGTATAGCTGTCTACTGTTCTCGTTTTGTAGGAGATTTAATTTGTATTTTTTATCCTGAGGTCTCTCTGTTGAAACAGTTTTGGCCGGTTCATTACGTTCTTTGTGATTCGTAAAAGGGCAGACGATATTGGCTACTACCAGATAGTGGTCAGATCCGCAATTGGCCCCTCTGCTAACTCTACAGTTTTGTACCTTGAAAGATGCTCTTTGTTTAGCGATTACATAGTCAATTATAGATTTTTGATTTAAAGATGGCCTTTCCCAAGTGTATTTGTGGATTGTCTTATGAGGGAAGAAGCTATTTGTAATGTATAATCCATTCAATTCGCAAAATTCAATAAGTCTATCATCTGAGTCATTGACTACTTCTTCGCCATATTGTCCTACGATTTTACTTTCGTCGCTACGCCCAACTCTTGCGTTCAGGTCGCCCAACAAGAATAATTGCTGTTTGGGTTTGATTGTTTCCAGAATGACCGAAAGTTCATGATAAAAACGATCTTTCACTTGTAGTTCTGAGTCGTCAGTTGGTGCGTATACTCCAATAATAACTGTTTCTTGACCAAAAATTTTTAGCGTGGCTTGGATTATTCGTTCTGAGATTCAACTGTAGTCAATAAGATATTTTTGAATGTTTTTCTTAAATAGAATGGAGACTCCGGCACTAGCTCTATTTGCCTTTGGGACACCTGACCAAATGAAAAAAAAACAAATTTAAACCTCTGAATAAAAATGTTAAAGAAGGAGTTAGGTTGAGCTTTTAATTTATATTCGAGCCATCGTCTAAAAACCGAGCTATCTGAAGAAATCATTCATTTTTATATTTGTAGATAAATGTACCTATTCCTTGATGTAGAGAAAAAACCAGTTAGTCATAAAATTAACTGAAATCTTATTGAAAATTATCTGAATAATATTCCAGCTATACATTTGTCGCAACATCATTAGGTCTAGCATAAGAACTTAGGATAAAAAATATGATTTTTTATTGATCTATAAAATCTATTACGGCAAATCAATAAATTTGATATTAAAATGACAAAAAGGTGAGATAATTTTTATTGTCATCATACACATACCGGAAAAATCTAGGGATATTATTTTATTAAAGTTAAAAATAAATGTTTTGAATAAACAACCACATATTTGTAGGCCGATTCTTTCTACTTCGATTGAAACGAAGTAGTAACACTAGTTATTTCTAAATTTGGGATATTTGCAGAAGTGTTTGTTCATTTTTTGTCAAATGTATAAAAAGCACCTAGCATCAATTGTTCGAATTTAACCTGTACTGGCTATGTTTTTATGATAACTAACCAGAATTTATTCAAATACCTCTGTTTAGTATTAAACGACATTATGGAGCGTAGACATCTTAATAGAGACGAAATGCTAAGGGCCATGGGTATGCCCGAACCTGGAATGCGCCAAATCGACGTAGCTAGAGCATTAAATACAACGCAAAGTGTAATATCGCGATTAAGTGCACGCTACCGTGAAAGTGGTGATGTTGTTGAAAGGCACATAGGGCGACATCGCATTACTACCCCTCAGCAAGATCATTTTTTACAATTAAATGCTCGACGCCGACCGACTCTTACGTTTAATTCTCCAGGAAACACATAATGTAACCGTTAGTCCTGACACTGTTCGCAATAGATTAAGAAAGGTCAACTTAAGAAGCAGACGCCCCTGGAGAGCTCAACCCTTAACGAGAGGAAATCGAGAGGTACGATATTTGTGGGCTCAAGATTATGTTCAGTGGTCGAATGAACAATGGGCCAATGTTCTCTACACGGATGAGTCACGTTTTGGAATTCATCCGGATTCGAGAAGGCTTAGGGTATGGAGAGAACCGGGAAATCTTATTCGGTTGGATCATGTTCAGGAAGTGCACCCTTACACCCCACAAGGTGGAACAGTTATGGTCTGGGGAGGAGTCCAGTTAGGCCGAAAAACCGATCTAGTTTTTCTTGAAAGGTTTCTAACAGGAATCACATATCGTGATTTAATTCTTGAGCCTGTCGTGTTACCATATGTCAATGATTTTGGGAGAAACTTCATTATCATGCATGTCTCATGCAGACAATGCACGGCCTCATACAGCAAGAGTGGTAAGTGAGTTTATCAATGCTCATCAATTAAACATCTTACCCTGGCCGGCACAATCTCCTGACCTCAACCCCATCGAGCACGTATGGGACGCGGTCCAAAGAAGAATTTTGAGAATGGGTATGCCTCGTGAAACTCGTAGGGATCTGGTTCGGGCCGTGAATGCAGCGTGACAGGCTGTACCTCAAGAAAAGATCGACAACCTGATCAGGAGCATGGAGAGACGATGTAGGGCTGTAATGAACAGTAGAGGAGGCTATACCCTTTATTAAGTAAAAATGGTTTTATCTTTTTGTTTTTAATTTACAGTTTAGAATGAAAAAAAAATGTGTGTATTTTTTTGAGGTCAATAAAAATCAAAGTAAATTTGAAAAATTCGGTAAATTTCGCATTTTTATTTCCAATACGTCCTGTAAACTATTTGTTTATTTTAATTTTATTATATCAGAAATGCAAATAATAAAATTACTGACGAGGGCTGGATAAAAATGTATATATTAATGTTCTTATTACATCAATTTTATGACTTTCTTACATTTTATTGTATTGAAATTCTTTGCACATGCACTTTTTATTATTTATAAACAATATGAACTTTCCTTTGCAAACAAGAGAAAAAAAACTAAATATTTTTTTAAACTAAGAACCGTTTACTAAACAATCACC